GTCACACATCTGCATATAATGGCTAATGACAACCTCAAATTTAAAGAAAATGAAAATAGTGATTTTCCTGACTCAATCTTCACCCTGGCTTATAATCCTGGTTGTTTTGTGACTCTTCCTCTTACATTTTTTTCCATGTTAAACTCACTGCTTCTGTGCAATCATCCTCTTTTACTTATCACTATTTCGATTCCCACTTGTGATTATTGTAACAACTATCCTCTAATCACATCTCCTCTTTTTATTTTATCAGACACCTTGCTGTGAAAGCAAACTTCCTAAAGCAGTTTTTAAAAATCACTTCTAGACATGTTGTCTAAGATAGTCTAACATAGTTGCATTCACTCCTTTATACAAGTTACAAGCTGTCACTGCATACTGAATGAAATTAAAAGTTCATTCTGTCAGTGGAGTGTGTTAGCTTCATGAGATTAAGCTGCTGTGATCAACAGAAGTTAAGAATTTAAGATGTTTCATTGAAACCAACAGTGAAGCAATAATATTTGTAGGGAGTAATCATCCAAGAAGAGATGTTTTCTTGGAGACCCTTCCTTACTTGAATAGATTTCTGATTATGATGATTGCAATTATTGCAGCACCTTAGTGGGGAGATTGTTGGAGTAAGGCTGCAAATCAATATTCACCTTTATTCTGATAATACTCTCATAATTAATGTTACTTCCCTAGTTCCTGTAAATACTTCAGGTCAAGATTCACTTCTTTCAGCTCAACCTTCACCCACGAAAAATGGCCCTAGACATTCACAGTCATCGTTGCCTCCTCATAGAGATGAGGTATGTAACATATCTTTTATTCTAAATTCAATTGAAATAAATGAGCTATGATTTTATGATCATCATTGCTATATGAAAATGTCATTCTTTAACCTCGCAGTGCAAAATAAATCATATCATACTAAAAATTTAACAGTCCAAATATATGTTACCTAAATATAATCCACAAGATACAATTTATATGGTGTACATGCAGCCCTCAGAGGTATCAAATGAGCTTCTTTTGTAGGGCGTCTCCTAACATTGATTTAGAAATATATGAAGGCAATGGAAGCCTACATTATCAACTTTCAATAGAAATGTTGAATCTTGAGTTTCTAATGGATTTCTATGGTTAGAACATTACACATCCCTTACTCCACTTTTCATTTCTAGGCAAAAGAGCCCATTCAAGTGGGATACTAATGTCATGAGGAAAACTGCATAGATTTTTCTAGACTAAGCTATTGTCTTTTCACTTATTTTATTATATTTTTAACTATAAAAAATACTAGATATGAGGGGCTCAGCAATTAAGAGCACTGACTGCTCTTATAGAGGACCCTGGTTCAGTTCCCATCACCCAAATGGAAGCTAACAAGAGTCCATAACTTCAGTTGCAGAGGGATTGGTATCCTCTTCTGACTTCCATGGGCATTGCACACAACGGGTGCATTTATATACATACAGGCAACACACTCATAAAGTAAGAATAATAAAATATTTTTAAAAGAAATACTTGATTTGAGTGCAACTACGTGCTGAGTATCACAGTTAGAAAATAACCAAATGAATGGGGGTGTTATTGTGGAACACTCTTGACTCTATTAATCTTGTATTTTATTAAGAAATGTAATATAAGCATAAAAATGTTCATGTTTCTTATAAATTGAGATTTGTGAAAAGTTTCACAGTCTTAAATTTCTGGAACTTAACTATACAAATAGCTGATGATATATTTTTGAGAAATATTTTTTTATTCATGTAGAAGGAGATGCATGGTGATTGGAATGCAAAACCAAATATGAAGTCAAGCTACGTTGGTGAACCAGGTAAAACATCAGCAATTGGTACTGGTATATGATGGAAAGAAACTATTAAACCATTCTTTCACTTAGCATTATCAGTCCATTCAAACTTCTTCAATAATAAGCTTTGTTCTGAACATAGAAGGAAAAATATTAATGACTGCTGCCCAGAGCTTTCATCATATAATAAGGGACATAACATTTTTGTTTCTATTCTTTTTAACTTTTTTGTTAATGTCGTACATGTATACAATGTATTTAGATCATATCTACTCCCAACAATCCCCTCCAATTCCTATCATACTCTCCATGCCTCTCCCAACTTTATGTACTTAGAAAAATAACCTACTGAGTCCAATTAGTGCTGCCCATATGTGCCCATATGTGTGTTGGGCCATCGACTAGAGAACGGGCAACTTACTGTGGGAGACATTCTTAAAGAAAATTAGCTTTCCCTCCCCTAAGAGCCATCAATTGGTAATAGCTCTTGAGCTATACTTGGAGCCCGTGAGTCCTTCCAGTATGGGTGCTTTATTGACTGGCCTTATCTTGTATAGGCAACAACTGTTGCCGTGAATTAATGAGTCCAACAACCCTGTCATGTCTAGAATACTGTTTCTCAACACTATTCTCCAACAAAGAAATCTAGACCTCTGAATCTTACAGTTTTTCTGCCCTCTCTTCCACGATTATCTCAGGTGATCAACTCTATTCTTTTTTAAAAATATTTTATTTATTTTTGTTTTCTGTGTACGCGTGTATTGCCTGCATGTATGTGAGTGCACCCATGTCATGCAATGCTGCAGAGGTCAGAAGAGGGCTTTGGATTCCCCTGGAACTGGAGTTAAGTAAGGTTCATAGCCACAATGTGGGTGCTGGGAATTTAATCCAGGTCTTCTGCAAGAGCAGTCAGTGCTCTTAACTGCTAAGCCATCTCTCCAGCCCCCCAACTCTATTCTTAGCCTAGCTACTACAATAGCTCTCAGGTAATACATTTTTTTAAATATTTTATTATTTTTATATTACATGTATGAGTGTTTTGCCTGCACTTACATACATAAGTGCACCCATCTCGTGTAATGCCCATGGAGGTCAGAAAAGAGCATTGGATCCCCTGGAACTGAAGTTACAGACAGTTATAACCTGCTGTGTGGGTGCTGGGAAATGAACCTGGGTCCTCTGCAAGCTCAGCCAATGATCTTAACCACTGAGCCATCCTTTTAGCCTCTCATAAATTTTAAATCTCATATCTCCTTTCTTAGCCCACCTGTCTACCTTTAGAGGTCACTTGAAGACTATTAGGAGTTTTAATAATATCTTTTTAACCTTACCCATCATTAAAATTTCTGCTTTGAAATCATAAGATATGAAAGGAGGAGGAGGAGGAGGACTATTTGGAAAAATAAACACATCATCATCATAATGGAAAAGAGGGTAATGGGGGTGAATATGGTCAAGGTACATTATAAAAATGAATGAAAATGTAATTAAGCCCATTTTTTTTTGTAATTTGCATATGCCCATACTTTTTTTTCTTTTTTTTTTTTTTTTTTTTTTTGTCTGTTCTCCTCTGTAAATATCCATGGTTCTGATCAGGCTGTAATTCATGCCTGTAATCCCAGCATTCAGGAGGTAGAAGTATGATGAACCCATTTTGGAGGCTAGCCCAGGCTTCATAGTAAGACCCTAGGCTCTATAGTCAACCCTGACTCTGGCATCTTCAGTGAAATTAGTCATATTAAAGGTTTATCTTCTATGGCTCCCTTTGTTTTTTGGGGTTTTTTTTGCAATTTTTTGAGAATTTAACACATGAGTACTGTATTATACCATTTTCTGGGAAGACTGTTTTGAGAAAAAAATACAAAGAAATACTGTAAACACAATAAAGAAAGTGGATATGCATGAAACTCATAAAATATATGAAAACAGCACTGAAGTCTATATAATCTGAGATATAAAAGAAAAGAGGGATTTTTTTTCAGCCCTAGTTTTATTTAACTAGCTCTAATGTTCACAATTAATGGGAATAATTTACTAAAGATTTATACTCTTATTTTTATATGTAAACTTTTCTTCATATATACCAGCTTCTCTTCTCCCTTACTTTAAGGTATAGTTTATAATTAAAATTGTATAAATTTTGAATATATGATGTAATAATATGAAATATATATATATACATTGTAAAATAGTCAACATAACCAACCATTTGACATATCCATAATCTTACCTAGTTACACTTTTGTATATGTGATTACATGTGTGTATGTTTGTGTATACACATGTGTAAGTATGTGTATGTGTGAGTGTGTGTGATTAGAACAGTGGAGGCCTATTCTTTTAACTGTAAAGCATGCAATAAATATTTTTAACAATAATCCCATTGCATATTGAATACCTAGGATTTATTAATTTTTTATAACACAGTCCTGTGACCAACATTTCTCCATTTCCTTTCCTCCCCAGGTCCATTATATTCTCTATTATTGTGAGTGTGACAATTCATATTTCACATATAAGGAAGAGTATGCGATGGTCACTTTTCTGTACTTTTGGCTTTTTTCACTTAGCACAGTGTTGTCTAGATTCATGCATATTTTTGCAAATGGCATGATTTGCTTTTTCTTCCTGTTTTTTGTTTCTTCCTTTTTTGTTCTTTCTTTCCCTTCCTTTCTTTTTTTTAAAAAAACTATTTTTATTTTTTATATGTATGAGTGTATTCCCTGTATGAGTGTAAGTGCACCCATGTTATCCAATACCCATGGAGGTCAGAATAAGGTATTGGTTCCCTTGTAACTGAAGTTACAGATGGTTTTTAACCACCATGTGGGTGCTGGGTACTGAACCAGGTCCTCTGCAAGTGCTCTTAACCACTGATCTGTCTCTCCAGCCCCATCTCTGCATTCTATTTTTGAAACAGGATCTCACTATATAGCTCTGGCTAGCCTAGAACCCATTATGTAGAGCAGGCTGGCCTTGAACTCATAATGACCCACCTGCCTCTAAAGGTGTGCACCACCATGCCTAGTTTTTCTGTGTATTCTTAGTCTCAGTTTCTTCTCTCCAAAACAAAATACACACAAACCATATTCACACAAACTGAAAACAGTTCATATGTTTCAATAATTTTCATATGTTTCCTTGATATCTGTCTATTGTTCTGTACTTTGAGAAACATAAGAATTATCAACTAAAATTGATTTTGAAATGACTAATTAGTATCACATATTTTTCTGAGTTCCAAGATTTTCATTTATTGTGTATTTTCGTAGTTGACATACATAAAATTTACATATGCCCTATCCAGTAAAGTAGTAGAGATGCTCTGTAGAAAGAATATATCTCCATAATATTAACCATAGTCGGGAACAGAATCGTGCTATATATTATTACATACCTATATATGATGTATTACATACATAGCAAGGCAGATATTTCAGTGGGAGTAGATACATAATAAACTGGTGAACAAAGTGCTAAGGAACCTTGAATCAAATAACAAGTCCCAGAAATAAGTGTTACTGAGAAATAACTATGTTCTATGTAGAAACTATTACTGTGAAACTGCATCATAGTCAAGACACATAGAATAAACTTGAAATTAAAGGAAAACATATGAGAGAGTTTTTGATTTTTGTGTCTTGCTTTGTTTTATTTTGCATTGGTTTGGTTTCTGAGACAGGGTCTCCTTGTAGCCCCAGCTGGCCTGGAACTCACTATGTTGATCTAGGCTGGCCTAGATATACAGAAATCTACTTGCCTCTGCCTCCTGAGTAACGGAATTAAAGTCATGCTCCACCACACCTGGATCATGTAATGAGTTTTTTAAATATGACCATTATAGAATGTTTTGGAGTGCTGAGGAATGATACTTATTTAGTTAAATCTCAAGGAAGGATTTCTAAGGAATTAACAAAGACTCAGCACAACCTTTGAAAACAGAAAAGAAGAAATACAAGTTGCTCCAAAGGAAAGGGTCAAAGCAATGATCTAAAAGTATAGAAAGCATATTACAACAAGGTACTGAAATTTGTTCTATGTCTCTGGACCACAGAATACATATAAAAATTAGCTATAGAGGCACTGGAGAAGTAAATAAGGATTTCAGATTTTTCTGTATATTAAACTCTTTGCTAAGGAGTTTGGAACTTACTGTGAAACCCCTAAAAGCTGTAAACAAGTCAGTGACAATAGAGAATAAACAGCTATTGAAAAATTGTGTTACCATGGAAAAAGTTACTGAAGATGGATATAAATTATAATTTTATTTTTCTGATGCTTAGGACCTCAGGGTTGTGCTCCAGCACCCCCAGGTATTTTTTCTTCTCCCGTTGACTCAAATATGTAAGTATTCAAAATATTAATGTAGAATCTTGAATTATTTTGGTAATTGCTTAAATAAATGACTAAATGAAATCTTCCCTTTTAGTAGTTTTGCTTGAATTTAGTGAAACTTCATTTCATGTTAACCTTGAGAACTAAGCCTTAGCTGTAGACATAGGAGATGTTTGCTCTTCCTTCCACCTTCTCTTAACTCTCCATTTCCAGGGTCCTTGTCCTTTTTCCTCCCCAGGTACACAATCTAGTTTTCTTTTTATTTATCCTGGAATAGTTACATTATGCCTTTTAAGACCATTGGCTTCTAGGGTGATGTAATAGTTCATCATACCATTTCAGTCACTTGACCAGCTATTCCCTTCGTAAAAATATGTTCAATGTAATCTGGAATAACATTCCCTACTTTTACAAACTGAATACCTTTGGAAGAGATATTTTTAAGCCCCAAAGCTTTCCATTTTTCAAATAATTGAAACTAATTACCAAAGTTTTTATTTTTCTCAACTTGAGAAGGAAAAAGACTACTATTTTAGACCCACTGTCATCATGTCTTTAAAAAAAAAAAAACTCTGTGTGTGTGTGTGTGTGTGTGTGTGTGTGTGTGTGTGTGTGTTATGCCTGTGCATTTGTTTACAGGGGACAGAGGTCAGTGTCACTGTGGGACTGTGGGTCTTCCTGTTACTCTCTTACTCTACACCTTATGATTTTAATTTTCTTTCTTTTCTTTTTTCTTTTTTTTTTTTCTGGAAGCAAAGTCTCGCAGTAAACCCAGAGTCCAGTGTCTCAACTAGGCTGGTCAGCCCACAATTTTCAGTGATCTTTGGTCTTCACGTCTTTCTCCCTCCTGAACTGGGCTTATACATACTTGGTGTCATGCCTGTCCTCTATGTATGTGTCTAGGGATCTGAATTCAGGTTCTCACGCTTGCATAGCAAGCTCTTTACACACAGAGCTATCTCCCAATAACCCAAGGCCATCTTCATTTTCATTTTTTTCTTTCACTTTTTTATTGAGCTTTTAAAATTTCATAAATTCATAAAATTTCATGGAAAATGGTGTCTATATTCAGACTAAACCTATAGATGAAGAATTTTAACCTGAGATGTATGTATGCATGTGTTTATTATGTATGTAGGTATGATATATGATTTATATCATTTTTCAATGTTTGTAGACTACATAGCAATATATTAAGAGACAGAAGGAAGGAAACAATTTGAAGTAAAATAACAAGGAAGAAAGATGATGACAATATGTGGATAATGACCATTTGAATAAATAAAACATTAAAGGAAGAGCATATTAAGGTCTTGTGCTGTTTGGCCTGACTTTGCTCATCACATGTATATCAACCCAGTTCTGATTTAACTCTAAGTTTAAGAAGACTTTGCTGTGGAGAGCTCACATTTGTTCCATCATCTATCTCCTTTTATCTACCTCAACTACTTTTACTTATCTCTGCTTTAAAAAAATGTAAATGTGAATATTTATAATTTAGAAATGAAAATTCATGACAAAGAGAATGAACATAAAGTAACTTGTTAACAGTGGGAACAGAGTTGTAATAATTAAGCATTGTACTTAACTAATAAGTTCATAAGTCTGTTGCCATAAAGATATGGCTAGAAATTTGTATTAATAGTTTATTAAAAAGAGCCTGATAGTGTGGAGCAGGAATATTATGGTCAAATTAGTATACATGATGTATCACACTGTCAACAACACATAGCCAAACTGAAGACAAGAAATCAGGAACTAATTGTAGAAATACATTAATGGTTTTCGTTTTCAATTTGAGATAAGTAAGCAGATATCTAAAAGATGTTAAATGAGAATGTATTTTCAAACATTTATTATGAACACACTGTATTTAAGAATTAAAAACTACTTCCTGATGTTAGATAAATATTAAGATATGTGGAATGAATACATTGTGATTATGAGGTACTGTTTTTCAAGGAAGTAACACAGGGCATAGCAAACATATGGTAGAATTCTAAGTACCAGATATTGTTCGTGTGATGTACTGTGTATTATGAGTCCATTCTTGGGAGTAGAAAAGTGTATTTCTGAATCCATAGGTCAGTATCTTAACAGGACATTCAATAATAACATTAAAGAAAACAAAAATAAAGTTTAGTTTTCCTTTTGTATTTTATGTTTAAAAAACTCTCTTTAGAAGAAAGAAAATGAATCAGTGTTCAGAAATTTTGGTATGTTCACAAACTTTTTTGTCCTAACTTAACTAAATCATAAATTTTTACTTTCCAGGCAACAAAATCTACAAAATTGTCTGCAAGATAAAGTATGTATCTTAAAATCAACTGATAAAACAGCATATTAATGACTTTCTGTGTATATAATAGAATGTATGAATCAGATAAAAATAATTATGTATTGATATTTGTTTTTCTTCCTACTTTGCATTTTATTCTAACTTAAATTTAGCTTTAAGTCAATTCTAATATCATCCTGTGACCCAAAATTGTTAACAAAAGTTAGTCTAGGCATTTCAGGAAGATCTTATGCATGTAGAACGGAAGAGCTTTCAGGGGCATAGCATTCATGGGCCAGGGTCAGACACCACAAACTCATATCTCATGAGATGCCATGAATCATCATGGCTTTTCCAATCTTGCCACTGAACTTTGTAGAGGATGAGTCATGTTGCCTAAATCTGTCTCTAGCACTTCTCATGGGAAGAATATGCTACCTAAGATCACATACAAATATACCTGGACACCTATGAGCTGAGACTTGAAACAGGAGAAGAAAAGATGATATGTTTTAATAAGACCCAATAATATGTCAGACTCATGGAAAAGGCATTGGAGAATAACATACACTTTAGCTTTATCACATGGAAACTGATCAATTCATAGGCTATAAAGCAAACACACAAGCTACAATTTAAGAAATATTTCTCTATAACATTATAATATAAAAAAATAAAAAATAAGATTCCTTTAACCTCATTTTACTATATGCAGAACTTTAGTAGTTGTCTTCTTTAATATGTTAAAATTGGATATGCTTTATCCATTACCCAGTTTAAAAGCCAGTGTATGTCTGTTTTTCATTATCTGTGATGAAAAGTATGTTAGATATTTTAATACATATTTTACATGTGGTATAGTTAATTTAGAGTAATCATCTTCACTAAAATTTAGGTTTTGTTCTTAGACATATTAAGGATATATGTATGTAAAACAAGGTTTTTATAGTCATTGTCATCTCAAAATACATTTATCAAACTACTAGCCATTATGTATAATATTAGTAAAAATCTATTGTAAGAATTTGAGAAACTGGTGCTAACTGCCATTTTGTGGATGGAGGGCTCCCACAAAAGCTCTACAACTAGATCGGGAGAGAGGTTGCTATGTCGATGTCCGTTTTCTTGCCATATGGATTTAACACAAATAATTTGCGGTTAGCTTAGACATATTTTGTGTAGGAACAGATGTTCAGCTTTGCTATTATCTCTTCTGTTTTCATCCATTTCCAGCTTTCTTAAGTAGTTTAGGCTGATAACTATTGTTCGGTACAAAGCAATTCAATCTCTATAATGCATTAACGTTTTTCTTACAGGTAAATAAACCACAGACCAACTATTTGTTTGTTTGTTTGTTTTATGTGTATGAATATTTTGCCTGCATGCATGTAAATGTCCCTATATCATTCAATGCCCATGGAGGGCATCAGTTCCTCTAGAGCTGGAGTTAAGGATGTTGTTAGCCACCCATAGGTGCTGGGAACCAAGCTGGGATCCTCTGCAAGAGCAGCCAGTGCTCTTAACAGCTGAGCCATCTCTCCAGACTCCACAGACTTAGTGTTACTGCAATGAATGGATGTGAGGGTGGCTTATTTACCATCCCTGTGTACCAGCTGGACAAATGCTACTAAAGGCAGAAAAACAATTTTTCTACATCTGTTTGGAGACATCGGTAAAAGCAATTTATCCTTTAAAAGCTTAGCAGAGTTATGGATCCCACACTGCTTGTTGCCAAAATATTTTTATGAGATGTGACTAGATATTAATTTTTAACTTTCATTTTAAAGTTATTTACCCCAGCAATGAATGTTGGGAAATAATTTAACATAACTTCTGAGGGAATATGAAGAAAATGAAATTTTATGCTGAAAATATTTCTCTCTAGAAGAGAATAAACCACCATAAAAATAATCTGAAATTCTAAATAGATTTTATCGTTTCCTTAAAAAAATGAAAAATTGATGCTAACATTTTTCTCTAAAAATACAGAGTTAAATGTTTATATGATTTTCTTTTCATCTGGTTATCTCTTTCTAGGTATCATCTGAAGAACTAAATAGTATAATTCAAAATATCATGACCTGGGTTGTAGCTACAGTGACCAGTATATTATATCCAGCCATTACAAAATATGAAGAAAGGCTGAAAAATAATACCTATCCAGTATCTGATGACTCTGACATTTCTTCAGATAGTTCAGGTCTCTGTAGTACATGCAGTGAAGGGCTTACACACGGAAGCTACGCAACTGAAGCAACCAAAACATTTCAAGCAGAGCCTTGCACAACTGCTAAAGACATGCCAGTGAAGAAACCACCCACACCTTTGAAACCTCCTTCTGCCCTTGTGGAAAAAACATCTGCTGGAAAAACATATCACAGGAAAGGACAAACTATATTATCTGACCTCAAATATAATAAAATCAGCTCGGTATATCCATACCCTAAGCTCAAAGGTAGTAAATCTGATAGTCACCTTCTAACATCATTTGAATCAGGATCAAGAAAATCTCAGGATGCTACCACAGAAACAGATAGTTTAGAGAATCCAGTGCTATATGATAAGAAAGCAAAGGCCATGGAAGAGATGAAGAATTTAAAGAATGTTCTTGTAAACTTTAAGTGCCATTTGAAAGGAGAAACACAACTGATTTTAGAAAGTATTTTTCAAGAAATAATATCTGATTTAACCCAGGCTATTCCTTCTCTTTCTTCTGTTACTGCTGAAGTTTTTGTTGACCACTGTGAAACTGAAAAAGAAGACTTGCTCTCCAATGTTGATATCTGCTCAGTAGCTTCAGAGATTGTGGAAAATATACTTGAGAAGCTAGAATCTGCAGTTGAGAAAAAATGTGTTCAGATATTTTCACAAGAAGATTTGTCAGTTGGCATTAAGCCAAGTTTATCAACAAGTGGTGAATATTTCTCATTGTTAGATAGAAAAGCCTCTGAAGAGACATGGACTTTGGAGCAAATGTATGTAATTGCAGAGGATATGGTACATGCGATTTTAGAAAAGTTGATGACTCTTGCTTCTTATAGGAAAAATGAAATTCCTCCTGAAGAAACAGCTAAACCCTTGCAGCAGCAACATAAGACAGACCCAACATTGACAGTCCTTCAAAGAACTGACAGAAAGAAATCTAGCCCTGAATCAGATACAGCTAATCTAATTATCAAAGAAGAAATTAAAAACTTAATATCAAATGTTTTTTCACAATCCTCTCTTGTTGGTTATATAGAAGAAGCAATCAGCACTATACTAGATTATGTACAAACTGAACTTAATAATGAGAGACTTATTGCCTCTGAAGAAACAGTAGTACTCCTTCAGCTATTGGATGACATCTTAACTCACCTCCACCAGGAACCAGAAAAAGCAGATGTTAAAAAACATAGACAACTTAGAATAAGAAATCCTTCTAACACTGAAGAAAAGTATAGACTCACTGGCACGAGATTATCTAATGGTCCTAGAACTAAAATAACATTTCTTCCTGTTAATGTCCCAGGTATGGTCCTTTATTCTGAAGATGATGATGAAGAAATAGACAACCTTGTGAAAAATGTGGTTGATTCATCCTTCAATGATGAAGAAGCAGACTCACAAAAACAGAGTCCTAATCATTGGCCTGCAAAGAGGGATACTTGTTTTGAATTCAAAAGAATCAACAAACCTCCTGTAAAGCCTCCTTCTCAAAGGGAAGTTGAATGTTATGATTGGGGATTAAAGATGGAGTTATCATCTCTTAAAAATGAAGATGTTTTAAAGACGAAATCCTGTTTAGGTAAAGATTTTTCAATTTTCAGCCAAGATCAAAAGCATCAAATACAAAAGGCTTCAGAAAGCATTGTTAAACATATTTTAACAGAAATGGTAAAGGATGTATCTACTGCTTCTTCTGGTTACTTGGGAAGCAAAACTGGTGAAGAAGCTTCTGTTTTCATTTCAGAAGAATATAAAAGGCTGTCAGACCAAGAATGGATGGACCATATGTTCTCTGGATCAGAAATCAGTGTAGTAGCTCATGAAATAACAGATTCTGTAATGAATATACTTCATAAGTCCTCAAGGTACATTCTTGATACCGTTAAAAGCACCATTTCATCAGTTCCTCACACTCGTGAAGATCATTCTGACACTCCTCACATAGACAAAGAAGCACCAAAAAAAATGCCGTTCAAAGTATGGTTTGATAGTGAAAAGAAAATGAAATACTTACCTTCACTCAGTGTAGAGTCTGAAAAGACTTCCTGGTCAAGATCTGGAGAAACTGAACTGAGGTGTGTATATGACATTACTCATAAGATCATTGATACAATTTTTAAAAGACTAAAGTTATTTGTTTGTCCAAAATTGCAAATGGGCCTCAAATCTCCACTGGTAAAGAAGTCATTACAGTCTCAACTTAGTGCTTACACAATGAAAATAGTCAGCATTGTTTTGGATGCTATCCAGAATGAACTAGAACTCAACGACATAAACCTAAATCTTAGGGAAACAGACCATGCCAAACACCTTGTAAATAGAGGCTTGTTTGTTGATTCTGATAAAACATTAGACTCTAGTGATACCAGTAATGACATTATCCATAGTTCATTACTGACATGTATTTGTGAGTTGTTATCAAATGAATATGAGACAACTACTTCAGCCTCTTCAGATAAGTCTTTGTCTGCAACTTTATGTGGATCCGACAATGTTAATAAACAAAACATTTTGCCAAATAAAGAGGATAAAAAGTCTTTTTGCCAGTATTTGGCTATGCCCTGTATTCTCCACAGTGTCATTTGTGGAAAGGATGTAAAAGATGGTTCCAAACTGCAAGTGTTAGATCGAATTGGAGAAACAGTGTGTGAAATGTTAAGCAAGCTCATGGGTGCCCAGTCTGACCCTCAGCCATCTTGCAGTCAGCAGAACACAGAGCAAATACATAAGGATCACCACACGATGACCCCAGTACTCTCCAACATTCAGCTGATTTCCAAAGCAATTCTGGAATATATCCTTGCAAAATTGTGTGGTGTTGACATACATACCAGTTTTGTAAGTTCTGGATTTAAAGCTGTATCAGAACCTCTTGACATTGACAACCTATCATTTTCTTCAGTCATGGAGGAAATGGCCAAATGTGCCAACATAATCTCCAGCATAATTTCCAGAATGGTGAAGGATAATAAAGAGAAGGCCAAAAGCAAGGCAAAAAGTGTTGTTTCAGTGTCTTCCAAAACAGAAACCTTAAAAGAAATGTGCCCAAGTAAACTAAAAGATGTCACTGCAGATATTCTTAACATGGTTTTTGCTAAACTGGAAGGATTTGCCAATGGAAATTTGGAAACTGTAGGTGTTATTAATGATGAAAATAAAAAAGGAAGGATGATGGACTGGGAATATGGAGGTAACAATGCTCTCGCAGATACATGTGATAAATCATTGCTATCTACTTTATACATGCATGCAAAGAAGGTGTCAAGTGCTATTTTGAAAGCCATTCAAACAGAACTAAATGTGAACTTATCAGATTGTAGGACAAGTGCAAAAAACTCACAACAGGAGACACAAATTCTTACGAATATAGTTGATTTGATTTTAGATGTATTTTCTTCAGATATGTTTGTTGAAACTGAATCTGAGAACAGAGGCACTGAAACTCATCGATACTGGCCAATTTATGGAAATTTTCTTCCTGGAGGAGCTGAATCAGAGTCATTTTTGGATGATGATACACATAAAAATACTGAATTCACTAGAGTGAGAACATCACTAAGAGAAGAAACTAAAACCTTTTCTTCTGACCAACAGGTTCTAGAAAGGACCTTAAACAAAATTGAAATGAAACTCAAAGAACCACAAAAATCTCCAATTGTTCCCATTATAAAAAACATCTTGAATGAAATTTTTCAAAGTGCTCTAATCGATCAGTTAAATGTGCTTTCTCTCTCACACTCTCATTTTAGTGGCATGCCTCACAATGTTCATGAATCAACTGCTCAAACACATGTTCAGTTTAGGGATCCACTGATGGGTCCTTTCATATCTGACACAGATGTAACTGAGGTGGTAAATGATGTTGTTAAAACTGTATTTCACAAACTTTATTCAGCTGCCATGACAGAAAGAGAAATTAATGAAAACAGATGTGAAACCATCATCTTTTCAACCAATGTTTCTTTTCATGAACGTTCATTTGGAGGGAACGCCCCTGTCCCTGTGTTGAACGGAAATCCATGTACTCTTCAGTCCAGTTTGAATGTTGACAAAAAAAACAAAATAAATGTAGTTGAAGATATTGTACAGGCAATATTAGAAAATTTAGAAGCATTTGCTGCTTCTAAAGTACAATCTCTCTTTTGTTCCCAAGTCGACTTCACAGTTCCAGTGACTTTGCCTGTTCAGCAGGAAAAGAGTACATTAAACAAAGAACTATCAGTCAAAGACTCCTATTCTGATAAGCAAATTTCCTGTTGTTCAGTGGATCATAGTAAGCCAGGAAAGACTGATTCATTGTGCCAACTGCCTTTGTCCAAATTAAATATTTATGCAAAAGAAGTGGCTAGAAAAGTTTTGCAAGGTATCAAACATGAGTTAGATAAAGAACGGGAAACTCCTTTCTTGACACCTAATATTGTGGTTTCTGGAAATATTGCAAGTCAGATTGTGAACACAGTGCTTGAGATTGTATCATGCAGAAGCAAGTGTGACAAAAACAATTCTGACAAAGAGAATTATTCAGATCAGCAAGGTGGTATTATTGAAAAGCTGTTCAATAAGACGGAATATCAAAAAATACTCCAGTTTCAAATAGAAGATACCGTTGAAAGGATCTTACATGATATTTATGAAAACATCCTGTATCAGAATTATCCCTCATTTGCCACATCTAATGTGAAATATAACATACCTGGCAGACATTTAAATGGGGGTTTTGAGCCATTTAATAATCATGCAACTATTATCCCTGAAGTGTCAGTTCCAAAGTCAGATGTCATTTTGGTCTCTAAAGATATAGTGGATATTGTACTTCGTAATCTTACTTCTTTGGTAATCCTTGCCATAAACGCAAAAGACCCTGTTTCTGCAAGATTGGCCACCTATGATGCATTTCCCCAAACACAGTGCCAGCACTCTCTTTTTATAGCATCAAAAAGTGAAGGAAGAAAAGAACATTTTCCACACTTAAAAAATAAGAATTTAGCTTATGCTAATGATTATCAGATACCTGTGAAGGAAAAAGATGGCACTGTGGAATCTGCTCCTGACCCATGTGAGAAAAATGCTAACTCCATTACTGAGACTATTTTCAATCGGTTACAATCTTTTGCCACAGAAAGAATAAATTCATCAATTACTCTTGCTTTTCAGTCTAATGAAAATTCAATTGTTAGTCCAGAATTTGAAAATTGTAAACAAGACAACAGTATTTTTCCTGAATCAAGCCAAGTTGAATCCTATGTGAATGTCCTAAGACTATCAACAACCAAAACCATTCCCAGCCAAGGGCCGGCAGAGCCCACATTTGTCCACTGCAGAGAAAGTCTTGGAACCACAATCCATCTACCACAAGCTAGTCTTAAGGACTATGCTGACTTCATTGCCAGTGTCATTTTGAAGCTTATTAAAAATGACTTAGACTCAGAAATCCAAAATATGCATATGCATTCAAACAATATTTTATTCCAAAAGGATATCATTGTGAGTGAAATTATTAACAGTATCTTAGGGATTTTACATGATAAAAGTTCAGCAAAGGATTTTTTTTTCTCTTCAAAAGAGAATCCTAACTTTTCACAGCTAACCATATCAAATGAAGGACAGCTAAGTAACAAAGAGAAGGACAAACCTACCACATCATCACAGTTTACAAATGATTCATTAGTAGAAAACCAAGTAGCACTGGAAAAGGAAAGCCAGAAAATGGTCTTGGAAGAAATATTCATGAGAAAAGGGGAATCAAAACCAAAAGAAAAGCCTGAATTGCTTAGTGCAGTAGAAGAAGTTTTGAATAGGTTGAGTCAAAAAATAACGGAAGTCATAGGTCATTTGCCTCCATCTAATGAAATCCCCTACTTTGTGTCAAAATCTAAAGTTAAAACATCAGGTATAACACAAAGGAATTTCTTTCAATCACATATTAACATAATATCAAGTGATATACTTGAAAATATTTTGGGAGAAATGCACTCGGTTGTTATAACATCATTATACAAAAAAAGTAAAAGTAAGAGAGAGGCAGAAACACATGACAACATTGCCTCACCAATGAAACCATCGTGTTTTAGAGAAACTAAACCAACAAGGGGAGAAAGTAATTCCTCTAGTTTTGAGACACCAGTATACCCTTATGCTGACAATTTAAGCACTGTTGTGTTAGAAAGCACATTTTTGCCATATTCACCAATGCAAATTGGAAGATACTTAGTTCAAATAGTTCTCGATAAGATAGCAAATTTTGTCTCACTGCATCTAGAAGAGAGATTTCCTTCTGAAGGTAGTTACGATGACTCATACCTTCTTAGACTATGCAATTCTAAAGTTAGCCCTAAGAACAGCCCTAGGCCAGGATGTAAAACAAGTTTAAAAGCAAAGTCAAAAATTACCTCTCGCTCTAAATTTAAAACAAAACCACATCTAGGAATTAGTGGTGCAAAGGCCAAAAGCAGGACCCAGTTAGCCATTGGAGAGAAGACTCCAAGACAGGGCCAGTCCAAAACTGCCATTGGAATGCCACAAACTCTCTCAATAGGAGATGCCAAAACCTTACTGAAAACAAAATTGCCTGCTTCAGAACTAAGAAATTATGCCAAAAATATAATAACTGATATTTTAGAAATAATTATGAAAGAACTTGAAAAAGTGGTACAAAATAGAGCAAAATTCAATGTAAAAGCTTTACCATCTGATCAAATCATGGAAGCAAGTAAAATTGTTAATGCAGTTTTTCAAGAATTGTCTACTACAAATAACCACAGTTTGTCTTATCCAGTCAATGCCTCAAATCTGGGTGACCTCCACCTTTCAAAGCAGAATCTAGGTACTGGTTCCCCTAATGAACAACAGGCATGTTTTTACTTAGAGAATGTTTCCTCACAGCTAGAACAGATTTTTCCAAAAGAAGGTATATTTAAAAAAATGTTTGACAAATGGCAAACAGAAGCAAATGATTCAGAAAATGAAAATTTTAAGCTATTGACAATAGCCGAAAATGTTTTGACCGAAATTTCAGTTAAAGCAAAAGATTTAGAATACTCTCTTTCACTTTTAAATTTGCCACCTCTTGAAGATTGTGAAAACAGGTTCTATCATCACTTTAAAGTTGGCTCTACTAGAGCTGAGGATACCGAAGCACAAATTAATATGTTTGGAAGGGAAATTGTCAAAATGCTATTTGAAAAATTACAGCTTTGCTTTTTGTCTCACATGTCTACTCAAGATACTAATGAAGCTCTAACAGATAAGAAAGAACACACCACTGCTAAAATAAGACATGGAGTTCCAACCAAGCACATCCTCAGGTGTTCACCAACCTATAAGATTAAAACAAGAGATCAGATTTCTAGGACCCCTAAGAACCAAATTGTCCAAGAGATTGTAGAAAGGGTCTTAAACATGTTAGAGTCGTTTGTAGACTTGAAATTTAAGCATATCTCTAAATATGAGTTTTCTGAAATAGTGAAAATGCCTGCAGAAAATCTTTTCCAAGTACAACAAAGGCAATTAAGCAAAAAGATGTTGCCAAAGTTACAACCAATCAAAAAGCTTTGTGATGAACCCAAGTCAAGTACTGTTGTATCCAAGGAAAATATACAGAATATGCATCTACAGGTTCATTCATTCCATTCAAAATTACTTACATACTCTGTCAATACTGTCAATGACATGCTTAGTATAATCAAGAATAAGTTAGACAAAGAAATAAGCCAAATGGAACCTTCTCCAGTTAGCACATTAAAAGAGAATATTGCTGCAAGCGAGATCATTGGTACACTAATAAACCAATGTACTCTTTTCAATGAGTCTTTGATCACAAACCCTCCAAACAAAAGTTTGTTCAGGGAAGCTGAAGATGTTTATATTGTTAATCAGGTTGAATCTGTATCTCCTATGAAAATGCCTAAATCAAAATTCAAGGAAGCTAATGTGAGAAGTAATCTTCCACAAAGAAGTGCATCTGGCCTAGGGTTTGATGCAGATGAAGATATGAGAGAAAAGCACATGATCTCATCTAATTCACTCTCACACATCAGTTCCTATGTTGAAAACACAATCAAATGCTCAGAGTCAATGGGAAGGCCTAGTTCAAAACCTGTACCATCATATTCTAGAAACAAAGTACAAGACTATAGCCCAAGGAAACCTAACTTTGGACATTCTGGTGAAGACATGAGGGGAAGTAGTGCTCTCCCTGAAGGCAGAGTCTTACAAAAACTTTCTAAGAAAGCAAATGATTCCACAGAAAAATCATTAAAGCAAGTCATGTCATTTATAAAATTGGGAAAAGGTGACAATCCAAGACTGTTTCACTACAAAGCCACCAAACCGATTGAGCCAAATGGAATTCAGACAACTGCATCTCCACTCAGAATATGTTTAGCTGCAGAAAACATTGTCAATACAGTACTGTCAAGCTATGGTTTTCCTCCTCAGCCACACCCGCATGAAAGCATGGAGACCATGAAACCATTTTTTATGTCAAAACAAGATCCTTTGTCTGAAGTATTTGGAGGACAAAAGAATGAGAAAAATTTTCTTAGAATGTGGTGCAAAAGAATGAGCAGCATACCTGAAGATGAACGTGAAGGTCTTGAAGCCTGCAAAGGAGGCTTTTCTTTACTGAAAAGATGGGAAAACAAGAATCCAAAGATAAAATCAGAGAGGTTAGAGGAAACTGGCATCACTGCTTTTGTTGATCATGAATTGGGTCCAAATGAAATTCATTTGGTAGCAAGACATGTTACTATGTCTGTGATCACACATTTGAAGAATTTCAAAACTGGAGGTAAGCACCAGATCACTTACTTTTTTAAAATTGGAATAATTTAGGGAAGATAGCAAAAGAAATATTTTTAAGAGCTCCTGTCCAAGAACCTATTTTTTTTTGCCTGCATGTATTTAAATGCACGCATGTAGTTCAATGCCCACAGAGGTCAGAAGAGGCCATCATATTTCTCTAGAACTGGAATTATAGGTAGTTGTTAGCCACTATGTGAATGCTGGGATTCAAACCTAGGTCCTCTGCAAGAGCAGCCAGTATTCTTAACCACTGAGCAATCTGTCCAGCACCTTACATTTTGTTTTTCTGAAAGTAGCCTTATAATATGTGACAACTATTCAATTATTTTAAACAATTGACTTTTTAAATGCTAATAAGTATTTGTGTGTATGGAATCTAAAAGATGTGTTATTTTTCTTGGCCTGTAGATAAGGGGGAGAGATGAAACAATTTTAAAGTTAGGGATCTTTGGGTGAGCATGAGCCAGTTACTCCAAAGTTTGCAAAGTTCTTATACATTTCACTGCCACTGTAATCCACCACTAATCATTCTGGAGTTATCACATTTGTGCTCTATTCACAATGAAAGTTCAACACAAATCTTTAGTATCCTACAAGTAAAATGTAACATAGTATCAAATATTTTGAATAAAATATTTTTAATTAGTCTTATCATTGGAGCTATGACAGCATATGTCACTAAACCTAGAAATCTGGTCTCTTAGCATTTGTAATTATACAAACAAGGCAACCACAACAGAGATTTCAACTTGGAAGTCCTGTTTTCTCAGCATACTAAGATTAAGATTTCACAAATTAAAAATATTTAAGGAAAATCCAAAATATTTTCCTTTCATCAGTTTTTTTTTCCTTTAGTGAGGTGCTCCGAAGATAAAATACATATGTAAATAATTACCAATATATTAGATTTTCCATATTCTTTGGAATCCATGCTAAAAATGGTTGTTTCTTTTATTTATAGTTTCCTCTGAGAAGTTGTTGCTTGCCTCTACACTGTCAAGGAACAACTGTGAATCAAAACAGCTTCTAAGAAGCATATACAGGAATTCTTCAGTTTGTCAGTTTTGTGAATATCTCACTGAGTCGGTTATCTGCCATTTAATTTCAAATATTTCTGAAGGCTCCAAAGAGGATAACAAAAAAAATAAAACGTGGGAAATCCAAAATGTAATATCTAACAAAATTATTTCAGTTCATTCTCAAGTGTTTAAGAACAAGTCTGTTTCTATTGGAGAACTTGCTTTGCATGTTTCTGAGGAAATTATTGAAATTCTTAGTAATGAGAATATTATAAAAACTGACACTGCACATCAGGTATCTTCTGTAAAAACAAAGTACAGTTACTGTCCAGGAGTAACTACTTCTGACTTTGATAATATCTTTCAAGATCTCTTACAAGGGGTGATTTTTGTATTATCCGAAGAATTAGGAATAAAACACTACTTTGAAAACAGTAGGAGAAACAAACCATATTCCACACTTAGAAATAATAGTTCCATTTGCAACAAAGTCTATGCTGTGGAAAGTCAGATAGGCCCCAGGGATTGGGAATTGTCTACTCACCAAACTGATCAATTTGTTCAAAGAAATAAATTAAATTACCTGGCATGTAAGTTAGACAGTCTGGTTGACAACTTACAAACCCGTGAATCAAAAGAAGTAGTCAATAAAGTCTTTAATATTGTTTTAGATTTATTTTCACCAGACGAGTTCCCAGATGGGGATATGAATTCTGGTAAAATAGCAAGAACCGTTTTCTCCTCCTCAAATAATCAACAAAGTAATATAATACTTACTAATAACTTAGGGCTTTCCCCTAAATCAATATTTCTTCTCAATATTGTGTGTGAGAAACTTATTAGAACACTGCTAGAGAAATGCACAGGTACTGCCTTTCTTAAGGATGTCTTTCTTTCTCATGAAGCAGCGGAAGAATGTCGACTCGTAAAAATACTTCCAAGTGTTCAAGATGGAGACCTTGATTATTATAAGGCACCAATGGACTGTGAACAGTTTCAAGGAGATTACATGTCAGATCTTTTGGAAAATCTGGCAGAAATGGATCAAGATTTACTGTCCTCAGACTGTATACTTAATGTTATTTCCCACAGCTTGGTTAAATCGTTGATGGATGAACTATCTCATGGTTTTCAACAAGCTCCTTTTGAAAACAAATATTTGAACTACAGAATAAGAGAAACACAGTCAGAATTCATTAAAGCCAAAAAACCAGAATTAATAGAATCAGGACGAGTTAAAGGTCCTTTAGGATTCATGAACTGTGACAATTTTTTGAACAGATCCTTGAATACTTCCAGTGTGTCTAGCCTCAAAATGAATGCACCATTTGGCAAGCAGCACACAATAAAACCCTCTTCTTCAGGACCTCCTAGGAGACAAGTAAAAAGGGAAATGAATGCAATAATCTTTCATAACAGTCTATGCCAAAGAGGTTTAAATACTGGTGTTTATTCAGCCACATTTTTGGAGGAAATAATTTCAGAACTATTTTTTAATCTGTCTGTATCAGTGCAGAGGAAAAATGTGACCATCACTGAGGCCTGGCTCCATGAGATGAATACCTTATTTATCAACAATGTAGTGAATGCGTTTAACAAAGCCAACATTACTGTTCTGAGGAATGCTGAAGAAAGGCTATATTTTCCACCAGTTCATAAAGAAACTGTTAGTAAGATCGTTAACTCAGTTTGTTATGATGTACTACAACAATATGAGTTTAAAGTGACCTGCGGTAATAATCTGCCGTATGATAATACTTCAACAGCAGAACGAATTTCTAGTAGCATATTGTTAGAGATATTAGACTATCAGCTTCCATCTTGCTTCAGGGAAAAGCTCAAACCAAGTCCATATTACCCTCTCAATGCTGAAATTATACTGTGTAAACTTCAAAATCTAAGAAAATTTAATTCTGATCCCCTATTTTCAAAAAGCTATAGCACCATGTTACCACACTCATTTTTAGAAGATGTAATCAGAAGAGTTTTAGCTCAGCTCATTCCTCTGCACAGCAAGTCTTCATCTTTGGAAAAAAAATATTTAATGATTTCAGATTTTAATGAAATGTCCAACTGCATAGTAAGTAAAGTTATGTCAGCCATTTCAAAACATAAAATATGGCTCACCATCTATGATAATCAGTATCTGTGTACAGACAAAAACTCCCAAAAGATGGTGGATTCTGTTTACAGTAATATTTTGCAAACATCTGATTCTCTTGCTTCAATACAGAAAAGCATAATCAGTCGAAATCCAATTGTGGTTGACCAAATGGCCAGTTTCATTATCCAAGAGATTATTGAAAATCATCTTCAACCATTTTTGCATGGAGAAACCTTACCCCGCCCAAGAACTCCACTGGATGAGGTATCTTATATGGTTAAACAAGTCCTCACTGAAGTTGTAGAGTTACACAAACCCCAAAAGCCATCATCCTTATGTATTTACCCTAATACATTTGTAAGAGAAATTGTCACCCGAGTTTTATCAAAGATTTTCAGCCCAAAACCTCACAGTACTTTTGAGCTGGAAAATATGACCCAAAAAGTAGTAAAGTCAGTGAATAATCATTTAGACAAAGCTAAAGTTCATATTACAGTTGATAAGCCCTTTGTTGATACTGATATTATAGATGAACTTGTTACATCAGTTTACAGGAATGTTTTAAAGCAGCATGGGCTAGACCCTGACATTGACAAAGAGTCTGAAAATAATGATGCTTTTGTGGAAAAGATTACCTCCTTAATTGTAGAAGCTATTTCAGACTACCTTCTTCACCCACTGTTTTATGGAGATTTGTCAGCTACTTCATGTTCTGAATCAATCACTGATACTATTGTTCATGAAATACTTAGTAACAGTAAATCTAGCAAGCCAAGTCAGAGTTTACCTCCATATAACACCTTACTATCATACACATTTTTAGAAGATATAATCAGAGTACTATTACCTAGATTCTTTTCTTCTTCATCTAGCATGGTTCAAAATAATGAAGCTCCAAAAGACAACTCAAGGGTGAATTTTAATGAAATTGCTTCCAATCTAATCAGTGATATTAGAATGAAAATTTCTCAACATGAAATTCGATTTTCAAAAGATGGGGACAAAACCAAGTCTGTTTATTCAGAAGATGATGCACAGCATCTTGTTGACTCTGTTTTCTCAGATATTTTAGAAATCTCTGATTCTCAAGAATCAGTGGAAGAAAGTATTACAAAAAGTAATGATGTTTTAATTGATAGAATAGCAGGTTTTATTATTAAATATATCTGTAAACAACATCTTCAACCATTTGTAGAAAGAAAGAGGTTATCTCCCCCATCATATGCATCCTTTATTGATGACAGGCAGTTATTTTATGCCAGTGTTTATTCTTCAGCTTTTCTGGAAGATGTGGTCTCTGGAGTTTTAAGAAAAATATTCCACAGGGTGGTAGGCATTGTACAAGTGGAATCAACACGAAATTCAGAAGATGTGCTGTTTGATAAAGCTGAAGACCTCATACATTGGATAGCAGAAGAATTCTCAAAGTCCCAAATTACCACTATAGATAATGCAGAGGAACAGTTGTGTTTGCTTCCAGTAGAGGCAGATGTGCTTAAAAACGTTATTGACACTGTGTACAGCAAAATTTTAGAAGAATATGAGATGGAAATTATGGATGATAATGATTTTCTAAATGACACCAAGACATTGGCTACACGGATAACTAAAATCATCCTGACTGAAATTTTTGATTTCCAAATCCAACCAGATCTTATAGCAAATCTTCCTTTAAGGTCACATTCCAAACTTAATGAAAATGTTTTGGTAAACAGAGTCCAATATGACATTAGTAAGTCAAGGTTCCGAAGACAGTCTTCAGCAGTATATACTACTATACTGTCGCATATCCATTTGGAGAAAATAATCACTCAGCTTATGTCTCAAATTAGTCCACTGCAATCCAGCATAGAACATTCAGATAGTCCTCAATCAGACTTAAGTAATACAGTCATAATGCTGATTAATGAAATCATGTCAATAATTTCAAAACATGCAATATGTATTATAAAACATGGGAGTGAAAAAGAAAGTATGATTTCAGAAAAAGATATACAGTCGATGGTTGACTCCATTTATGCTGAACTTTCTCATTCAAATATATACCAGTCTCTCACAAAAGATAAAAGAGGTATAAGTAGTATACCCGTTTCAAAAATAGCAAGTTTCATAATAAAAGAGATCTTCAATCATCATCTGCAGTCATTTTTATCAGGAGATAAAAATATCCTCTCAGCTTCAGTTGCTCAAACTTGCAAACAGAAAGCAACCAATACCAAACAAAGAGAATTGTCTTTCATTGTGAACTCAGCTGTCTTTTTGGAGGAAGTAATTTCTGAGCTTTTATGCAAAATTCTTCAGACATTCATACACAGTGCCATGGCTGTGGAAAACCCAGATAGAACAATAACCAAAATAGTGGACATTGTTACAACATTGGTCCAATCAATTGTTCTAGAGTTCACCACATCAGAGATCTTAGTTGCAGAAAACTTGGATGAAAATCTATGGTCTTCAGATTCATATAGGGAAATGGTTCAAAAAACAGTTAACTCTGTTTATGAAAACATATTAAATGAATATAAATCTCTGATTCAGGTACACAGAGCCGTAGAAAATGACACTACCTGTTTTGCAAGGAAAACATATTATTTTCTATTGGAAGAAATTTATCATTATCAGGTGCAGTCATTAGTTTCAGGAGAATTAATGCCTTCTTCCTATTCTTCCCCTAAAGCTGGCAATATCATCAAAAATGTGCTCAGTGTCATCTTGAAGGATAGCAGTTCCTTGCCATCATGCATTACAGTGTTTCCTTGCTCTCTCCTAGAAAATATGATTTACAAGCTTCTAGTGAATCTCTTCCCTTTACATGAGGCTGCAAATCAACTAAAGGAGGAAGAAGTTACACCAGATGATGGTGATGACTTTATGACTGCAGCATCAAAACTGACTGACGAAATTATAAAAGAAATTTCTGAACATGAGATCAGACTTGCCACAGCAGAGGAGACTGTAGAAGGTATACAGTTAGGAACTACTGAGGATTTCATTGACTCTGTATGTAATAACATTTCGAAAAAATCTGAATTCCAAGCTGAAGTACAGAAAGAGGCACACAGAAAAGGTGGGTCATTTCTTAGCAAAATGGCAGGCTTCATTATTCAAGAAATCATGGGTCATCATTTACGACCATTTTTATACGGAGAAGGCTCATCTGGTCATTTACCTGACTGTGGCCATGCCTCTGTTGTTGCTAAGTCTAGGAAAGAAAAGGTGCAGCCTTCTCTATTTTCAGCAACATTTTTAGAAGATGTAATTGTTGGCCTTGCTCACAAATTTTGTTCTTTCTCAACCATTACTGAAGATTCTCAGAAAAAAGAAATGCCAGAACCAGACATTGTAAGTATAGCTATCGAATTTGTAAACTCTCTCATAAAGGAATTTAGGAAAAGTGAAATTAAAGTTTTACCACATGCTGAAGAAATATTTTCTTTTCCACCAATTGGTAAGGAGACAGTTGATGAAATATCTAATTTTGTATATGATCACTTCATAGGGAAATTTGGATCTGATGATATCCAGAAAGACAGTGCAAGTAATACTGTTATAGAAATGATTTCTACTTTGACCCAGAAAGCAATCTCTGCATTCAAGATTCAACCGCTATTTTCAGGAGACTGGACTTCAGCTTTCTTTTCATTTCTAGATCCGGAAAATATCACCCAAAGAGTTCAGCTTCTACCACAGAAAACCTCCATGCAGATAGCTAGATGCTTGAAACAGAACCAACGTACTGTATCTAAAGACACATCAGTGAAAGAGGAGGGCATTCAAGACCCAATACTTAACTCTGTAACTGCTGTTATGAAAAGCAATATCGCCACCCTGATATCAGGGTCACCTGCAGGTGTCACAAGTAGAAAGACGGATGATGAAAATAAGCTGACTGTTACCCTTCAAAAAAATAATGAGAATGCCTCAAAAGTCACTTCTCCAACTACCAGTGTGAAAAGGAAAGATACTGAGGAGCAAGATTTGAGTGATACACTTAAAAGTGAAATCAAGAAGGAAAAATTAGCTCCACAAAATGAGCAGGGCCGGGTTGTTGAAGGACACATACACTCTGCAGATGCTACTGTTGATAACAAATATGATGATGAAGTACTTGGACCAGATTTTGAAACAGACAATAAAAAGATTGACATTTTCAATAAAAGTTTATTGAAAGATGGTAAGTCCAAGACTAGAAGTAAAGAGACAATAATAGAGAAAATGATAAAAATAACTCCAAAGGCAAGTAGTGAAGAGAGGGGAGATGCTGTAGCTGAAATAGTTACAGATGAAGAACCATTCTCAGAAAATGAACGTGTTGAAAATGTCATTGAAAATATTTATGACAATGTTTTCCTAATGTCTTCTCAAGAGCCACTGGAATTTTCAAAACCATATAGCAAAAGCTCCCCAAGTGATAAAGCATTGACCATACTTCCAAATGTTGGCAAAAATTTTTCACAGTCTGTTATACCAAAGGATTCATCCCTATCAATGAACAAAACTGTCCCTGCTAAAGAAAAAGAAACTATGACAAAAGGAGAGAAGGAGAGAAAGATCAAAAGAGATAAAGGAGGAGAGAAAGAATTTAAAAGCAAACCTGGTGCCCCAGACCATCCTCAGTACTCACCAGAAAGTAAACCTGGAATTATTCCTGCTAAATTTCTGGAAGATGTTATCATTGAAATGGTGAACAAATTAATATTTTCATCTTTACCAGAAACAGAAACATGTGCTAAATATCCAGGTTCAAGTGATGATAAAAATCGTGTTGAACTCTATGACACAGCTATGAAACTCATCAATTCACTGTTGAAGGAGTTTTCAGATGCTGAAATTAAGGTATTTAGACCAGATAAGGAAAGTAAGTTTTCTTCACATGCAAATAAAGAGTCACCAGTTCATACAATAACACCCAGGCATAATGAACCAACTACAAATGAATCATCATCCAGTATAAGGAATAAAAATGTGGATAAAATACCATATGTACATGAAAAAGATGAAAAACCCTCTTCTGGCAAGATGCATCCCATAGATATAATGCCATCAACTGAAAAATCATTGGTCAATAAAATAGTTCATGCTTGTGTTTGCAATATTTTAAAGGAACATAAATCTCAAGAATCTATTTGCAAGACTATCAACAGTAGTGGGGAAAATTTAGCCAGAAGGCTAACTAGTTCAGTGATAAATGAGATTTTTCAACATCAGCTTAACTTGCTATTTTGTGATGAGATACCAGTTTCAGCATGCCTACCTCTAGAATCTAAAGATGTTGTGAAAAAGGTCCAAACGGTGGAACAAACAGCCAGCAAAGAGTGTCAAACATCATCCCCATACACCATAATATTGCCTTACAAATTTTTAGAGGATGTGAGTTCTGCTCTTTTAGCAAAAATTTTCTCAAAAATATCCAACATCAAAGCAAAATCATCTGAAGAAAATTTTTCCACAGAACTTGACTTCCTTCAAATGAAGTTAGTAAGTACAATTGCAGCAGAGATTTCAAAAAATGAAGATATGATTATACATTATGTAGAGTCCTTACATCCAAATGATGATGAGATTATTCAATTGGTTGTTCAGACTATTTATAATAATCTTTTGCCACAGTTTGGATCACAAGAAGCTATACAAAGTTGTATAGCCAGTGAATGCAGACTCCTTTCACAAACCATAGTTGACCTAATTCTACGAGAAGTGGCTGGCAATCAGCTGCAGAACTATTTTTGTGGCGAGTTAACCCCGTATCAGTGTGCAGAAGTTAATAGTGTTGTTGACAATATCCTTACAGAAGTTATCCTAACTACTCCACCTCAGCCACCACGTCCTCGTAAACTATCTTATAACATAATAGAAGACATTGCTGTAAAATTCTTATCGAAGCTTTTATCTGTTTTTCCAAAGGTGCATAAAGAAAGAACCAAATCTCAAGAGACTGAGATGCAAAAAATAACCTCAAAAATATTAAATTCAATCCAAGAATTTATGTCCAAAAGTAAGATTAAAGTTGTACAATCTCCTAAAGATTCAGATACTGTGCCTTTAACTGACAATGCAGCTGTTGAAAAAGTGGTTAATTCTGTTTATGCCACTATTTTAAAATACTCTGGCTCTCATGCTTCCATGTTTGAAGATTTAATGGGTAAAAGCAATATCCTTTCCGATATAATAGGTTTTTTAATGGTAAAGGAAATTTCTACTTGTGAATTTCAACCTCAAGTAGAGGAAGAAGTATCAAATTCAGAATTAGTTCTAGAAGCTGTCAAAATTATGGAAAAGGTTACTAAAATTATTGATGAACTTAAGTCCCAGGAAAACTCTTCTTCTGCAAAGCATTCAGTATTAGATTCCAGCATTTTAGAGGAAGCACTGGCCTTGTTCTTGGCTAAACTAGTAAGAATGCCCAGTGCTGCAAGCAAAGGTGCAAACAGCTTAACCAAACCTGAGTTTAATAAAATTGCATCTCAGCTGACAAAATCTGTAACAGCAGAAATTTCCAGAAGTAATATTAGTCTTGTAGCTTCTGATCCTAATGCACATTCTTTAGATCCAGAAAATACAGAAATGATTTCTAAGGTTATTGATTCTGTTTATAGTAATATGCTACAAGAACCTGGAACCTACAAAGAACTTTATGCTATAAAAAATGAAAGAGCCTTCCCTAAGAAAATAGCTAACTTAATTATTGACGGAGTTTCAAATGTTCCCTCACACAAAGCTAACATCAAGAGTTCATATACTGACTCCTTTGGAGATCTAGACACAAATAGAATCATTGAAAAGTCACAAAAGCATGCTTCAGAAATGACATCTGACTCCGACAAAGAGTCCAATGAAGCTATAATAGAAGATAAACTTCCAGTAAAAATAATTCCACATTGGGGGGATAAACCAATCAAAATAGACCCAGAAATCATTTCCAAACACTTAGCAGTTATTTCTATAAAAACTCAGCCTCTTGAGACCCTTAAGACTGAGTGTATAAACAGAACTGGACGTAACTTAGCAGAACTGAGAAGAGCCTCAATCAGTGGGAAAAGTCAATCCTCCGCAGACACAAATGAATCAGGAAAGAGAAAGAAAGAAAAGCGTATCTCACTGGACAGGACAGGACGACTGGATGTAAGACCCTTAGAGGTAAGTGCCAAGACAATGACAGAAAAATAACTATAAACAGTAAGCCATGGTTCTGTGACTTCCTTCCTCCCATGCATATGGAGAGGCACATTTATTATCTTCCTAGCCCAACAGGAAACTGGTTACATCAACTCATCTATGCAACCATATGATTTTACAAAGACTTGCCATATCAGTGTCGTATTTCACTTTTAGGATCACATGCTAGTTTTTATAAAGATGCATAATTTTAATAAAGTTTTATAAGTTTCCACTTAGGCTGCTTTTTCTTTGAAGCATAATAATATAAGTATATATCTTTAACAATAATATCATACTAACTGAATTAAGACTGTGTTTGGAAACTTACTGAAAGATAATGCTGTATGCCTCCCCTAGTTTTCATAGTGATTATCTAAAGATGCTTTAAAAAAAAAACCAGTGAATAGGAACGAGGGAGCCTTGTGTACAGTATGTCACAAGACTGTTAACCCACAATTTATGAGGGTGAAGCAAGAGAATGCAAGTCTGAGACCAGCCTTAGCTGTAATCTGTACAAGGAGACATTACCTAAAAACAAACCAACAACCACAAGTTATATGAAACCATCTAAAATAATTTAATTTTTAAATTCAAAGCCCCAATAGTATTTTCTTCCTTTTACCAATACATTGTACTATACACTCTTACATTAAACTTGGTCATATGATTTAACTTTAATTACATTGGCCATTTCCATTTGCCCTATTCTTTCAAGATGACACTGTTCCCTTCCTGTTCTAAACCTAGTTTCCTTAATACTGCTGCTTATAAGGACCTATTTCAGTTTACTGTAGGCATACCCCTGTCTTTTAACCCCATACACAGGCTCTGAACATACTAAAGTAAATGAGATCATAGTATGTCCAAAAGTATGTTCTGGTTACAAGAAAACCACTCATGAAGAAAACTCTCTGGCCAATGGATCAAACTACTCAAATTTTTAATATTTTTATTCATCAAAGTGCTTGGTGTTTGTACAGGTGCAATCTGTGGCATTGACACTGACGCAAGTATACAGCTATGTTATTTGGAGAATAAACCCAAATAAATTTTTTCCTAGTGCTATTGTGAAAGTCACTGAATTAAGTCTCAAGGCTGATGTTGTTATTTACTTGTTAATTACTTATTTATTTATTAATTTATTTATTTATAAGACCGGATCACTCTGTACCCCTAAACAAGCCTGGAATAATTATGTAACCCAGTGTTGTATACACATTTCTTCCAAATATTCCCTCTTAGAAGAAGGCTCATTAAGACTCAGAAGTAAAATCTCAAACAGCTCCTGAAGCTTACAAGATTCACAAGGCCCTCCCCAAGGACAAATGAGTAGTGACCGTTACCTGGGAGAGAAAAGTTGCCTGGAAGCGTATAAAGAGCTCCTGGGGTCCAGCTTCAGAGATTAGTGATGCAGCTGTCTTGAGCCATCCGCACTTCTATAACCCCTCATCCATATTCCTATCAGGAATCCCAATAAACTCATTGGCTCACTGAGCTAGCCTCAGGGGGAATTATTTCTTTTGTGTGTTCTTGTGCTCTAGCTGAGACGAATAGCCATTCCTTCATGTAACCCCAGGAAAAGCCTCACAACACCCCACCTGGCCTGTAACTCCTTGTGATTATCATGCCTTAGTCTTCTCCGTGCTAGGATTGCAGGTGTGTGTACCACACCCAGAAGTGTTTTATGCTTTCAAAGTGAAATATTAAAATAATCTAATACTTGTTCTGGGTGTGGTAGTGCAGACCTTTAATGCCAGCAAAGGGGAGGCAGAGGCAGTTGAATCTCTGTGAGATCAAAGCCAGCCTGGTCTAATAGTGAGTTCCAGCCCAGCTGGAGCTACAGGGAGATCCTGTCTCAAAAAGACATACATATGTACATACACACACACATATACATACATATATATATGTGTGTGTGTGTGTGTGTGTGTGTGTGTGTATGTGTGTGATCTGATACTTCTCCCATCTTGTTTATCCTTTTATAGAACCTATGATGATCCCTTCTAGTTTTAAAATTTTCTCTTCAATCTGAGTCCTCATGGCTACATTAGCATATATGTAATGTGGTATTTATATATAAGAAATCCTGTGGGAGGAAAATTAATGAACAGTATGTAAAATAATATTATTCAAAATTAGTTTTTAATTTTCTATAGAACCATCTATAATACATTCTATTCTTATTTACCAACTTTATTTAGATCATGTTTAAGCTACAGAAATCAGTAGTGAATATTTAAATAGAAACAAACACTTCTGTCTTCTTTAAGAGAACAAAAAGCCATCCAATAATAATTTTCAAAAAAAAATAAACAGCAGCCAGTGGCTGGGTGTGGTGGTGCATGCCTTTAATCCCAGCACCCAGGAGACAGAGGGAGGCAAATCTATGTGAGATAAAGGTCAATCTGGTCTACATAGCAATTCCAGGCCAGTTGGGGCTACAGAGAAACCCTGTACCAACACACACACACACACACACACACACACACACACACACACACACACAAAGGCATAGAAATTTTAAGTGCCAATCTGAATGTGAATGTGTCTATTGCCAAAAAAGGGACAGAGTGGAGACGAAATTATAAATTAAGTCAGATACCTTAGGCTGTTGGCTCTGCCTTGATGATTATTATTTCATGATTTTGGATTTTCTAACCTCATTTAGACAATAGAGTGAATATTCAGAATTGATAGTTTTGAATTTTTAGAGTTGCTTTCCGAAGAGTTTGTTTCTACAAAAATATTCTTTTAAGACATTACCAGTCAAAAATATGGTTTGGAAAGCTGCAAAGAAAGGTTGAATCTAAGATTAATAAATGAATTCATAATTGCTGTGATGTGGCTGAAGGTACAGAAATGGGGTAATTTTCGTATTGTAATTACCCTTTTTTGGATTTATCTTTAACACTCAAAATAGAAATTCAGACTTGACTCAAAGTGAGAAAGAAATGAAGATTCACATATTTTGTCCAAAGCATCAGAAAGAAGAGTATAGAGTAAAAATAATTGAGACCAAATTTTTTACTCATAATTATTTTTATGAGTGGAATTAACCAAAGTCTTGCCTTTTCCTTGAAATAAGTGTTTACATTTCCATAAGTTTTCCTATCTAAGAGTTAAAAATACAAATTAATCTGATTCTGTAAGAAAATTTTTAGGAGAAATGACATGCAGAAAATAGTAAAGTTATTTTATAATACTATGTAAAGCTTAAACAAAAGCTCATGTTAGACTTGCTTTTTGAGATGTTATGATTAACATTTCGATATAGAAGTAATGCTTGATATGCAAGTATTTATGATTTTTATCCATTTATTTATAATAAATATCGATAATATGCCAGTAAGTGGCATTTGAGTATTTTTCTTAAATTGAATTAAATCATAAGAAAATAGCTATGACAGTGTAATACAGGAAAAGTGACTGAGTTATTTATTTTTAATATTTATTTTACCATCAATTTCAGGCTGTTGGCAGAAATTCATTCCAAAATATAAGAAAGCCTGATATCACCAGAGTAGAACTTTTGAAAGATATTCAAAGCAAAAAAGATCTGATCATTCGGTTAGTAGCTCATGATATATACCCAGATGTTTCAAAAAGTGACTTCAGAGAGGAAGTAGTTTTTGATGAAGAAGAACTTGTTTTAGGAGAGGTTGTTGGACGACATAGCCTAGGAGAACTATCTAAAGAACAAGGGAAAGAAGTTGTGAAACCAATAAAGAAAGATGTTTCTTCCAAGCCCACAACCAGTGCAAGCAGCCTAAGAAACTTTTTAGAAGTAAGTAAATGCTGTCAGCCCACATCTAAGGAAAATATTGAAGGTATCATTGAAGCAACCTCAAACCAGATAACAGAATCCAACAAGACACACATTAAAAGAACTGTTGCTGAGCATGACATGCTGTCTTCCAAAACCTTGGCAGAAGCAGACTCTTCTGGGCAGAAGTCACAATTTAAGGTGAGTGAGAAACATGGCTCCAGGCAGCTAGAAAGGTTAGACAAGTTCATGATTTTGTTCTAGGATGTAACTTGACTAGGTAGAAAAGAATACTAAAATACATTCATTGTCTTCATAAGCCTGGAGACATATGGACATACATGTTAAAGAATTAACAGGTACAGTCATGAAACTTAATTAGGGGAAGGTAGTGAACAGAGAATGAAATTCAGTTGAGGAAATAGAAGTTTATCTATACAGCAGACTCCTGCCTTTTTGTACTTGGGCTTATAAATATGTATTAAGAATTTTGAGAACTTTGTGTCAATCTTATGAATCCAGGTAGGCTGGCTGAGATAGAAGGAAGTTAGAAATAATCCATAGAAAGTCAGATTGTTGCCTAGCATGTGTTAAAGCCTGGGTTCAATAGACAGCATTGAAGAAAAAAAAAAGGCTTTGTCTGGGTTTGAACCCTAACTTAGTATGTGACCTTCCGAAAAATTATATAGTGACTGTTTTACTTTAATAGCTTTTAGTCAACCTGCCTAGGCAATTTAAGCAGGATACTTTGAATACTACCCTTACATTTAGCCATTAAACTCCATGGTGTGCAGTACTTATTACTGCCTCCAAACCTTCAAATAATGATAAGGGCTTCAATGATCCTGTGGGTTTTACTCTGTCCAAAAATCTGTACTATTTGTATGTTTGCAAATTATATAACTTAGGATTTCCTCATGGGATAATTCTCTTAATTAAACATTGATGTGATTTGTAGGCTAACCAAAAGCTCCAATGAACCTTAGAAAATAATTTCAGTCAAATCCGAAGCACAGACTTTTTCAACAAATATATCAGAGTATGTGTTAAGATGGTTGACCATACAAGCTTATGAATTGTCTAGTTGTATCTCTGTTCTTTTGTTTAATGAAATAGACTGTGATTCAAGCATTTTAAAAAATTGAAAAATAGAAAATTATATTCTTCAAACATTGCAGTAGATTGTTTAAAATGTTTTCAAATCCCAATATCATGATTTAGAACATCTCCACTGAGCCATTTCAAAAATTACATTCAAAGATATTTTAATTAGAATTAAAGAATTCATTTAAATTTTAAGGAATCTGTAAAATGTTTTTTTATTAAATATTGATTAGAATGCAACAATGGTAGAAAGATGAGAAGGTATATATTGAGCTCTGGTTTTTTTGTGTGTGTAACGCCTGATTTTAATTTTGCAGAAAGAAGAAAGACTAGCTAATGAACCAATACATTACTTGATACACAGAATAATGAGTACATCATCATACAATCAAGAAGATCTCCTTTCAGGGTACAAAACTTTAATGCAACACAAATCTAAAAATCTGAGATGAATGTAGGGTTTATGGGTAGAATGGGGCTCCTGGTAAATTTGTAACTGAACAAATGTTCAGCTTCTAACCTTACTTGTTTCTTTCTTTCATTGACTCCCCACTGTAAGTGCTAAGTCTCCTCTTGCTATGACCCTCCAATTCTAGCAACCTGGCCTCTGCATACTTCTTTTGACACCTACTTCCGGTGTATTGATGTCTTACATCAAATACTCGCTAATGTATTAGGGTGTTTTTTTGTTTTTTTTGTTTTGTTTTGTTTTTGTTATTTAACTTGAAAGACAGTCATAGGGTCAGCAGAAGCACATGCACTACCAACACAAAAAGATTCCTCCTGTTCTGTGCTGTTAAGGAGGCTGACGGGTATAGTATGTATCACTCTACCGTAGAAGAGGAATTCAAAGAAGGGATGGAAAAACATAAGTTGGAGCATTCATAGAATAATTCAAGAAAACTAGTTACTTTTATGCTGTTGTGATAAAACAGTCTAGCCAAAGCAACTGAGGGAAGAAAGGGTTTGTTGCATCTTACACTTCCAAGAGACAGTCCAACCTTGAGGGAAATCAAGGCTGGAACTCAAGACAGGAAGCTGAAAGCAGGAGCTGACACAGAGACTACAGAGGAATACTGCTTACTGGCTCTCTCCCTGTGGTTTGCTCAGCTACCTAAGAGTCCAGGCCCAACTCTCAGGGATGGCACACCCACAGTTGTCTGGGCTGTCCTATATAAATTAACAATTAAGACAGGCCTCACAGACATGCTCAGAGTCTAGTCTGATGGAGGCAGTTCTCAAATGAAGTTCACTCTTCCCAGGTGACTTTAGTTTGTGTCAAGTTGATAAAACTAACCAGCACAACTAGCTATATGAATATTTTAAAAGAACACACAAAAGTTAAATTAATAGCTATTCTAAAAGAGCATAAGAAGGACACTATGTCATGACAAAGGGGTCAGTTAAAAGAAATACATAATGAGGGTTGGAGAGATGGCTCAGTGGTTAAAAGCACTGACTGCTCTTGCAAAGGACCTGGGTTTGATTCCCAGCACCCACGTGGTGGCTACAAACCATCCTTAACTCCAGTTCCAGGGGAATCTGAAGCCCTGTTCTGACCTCCTTGGCACTGCATGACGTAGGTGAACTCACATACATGCAAACAATACACTCATACACATAAAGTAAAAATAATAAATAATATTTTTAAAAATACATAATGATTATAAAAAGGCATGTGCCTGGGGCTGGAGAGACAGCTCAATGGTTAGTAACACTGGCTGCTCCTGCAGAGGACCTGGGTTTAATTCCAGCACCCACATGGTGGCTGACAACTGTCCTTATTTCTAGTTCTAATGAATCCAATGCCCTCTTGTGACCTCTATGGCCATTGCACAACATGGGTACACTTATATACATGCAGACAATACACACATACACATAAAATGAAAATGATAGAATATTTTTTAAAGGCATCTACCAAGTATCAGAACTCTGAAATACATGAAGCAAATATAGACACAGAGGAGGAAGGAAATACAATAATAGTAGGACATTTCAACAAATCCCTTTGAAAAGTGAAAAGATCAACAAAACATGATATATAGAGAGAAATGGAAAATGTGAAGACCATTGAACAATTGGCCCTACCAGACATGAACAGAACACTGTACCCAACAACAATAGAATAAAAAGTTTTCTTACATGTAAATAGAATATTCACTGTTAGACCATACCATAGTTCACAACACAACTGTAAAATCAAACAACACTGTCTTGCAATCACATTGAATTGAAAGCCGAAATGGATAGCAGAAGGGAAAACAAAAACATCCAAAAATAGGCATAAATTCACATGCCCCTCACAAGTTAGTCAAAAGAGAAGTACACAAGGATAATGCTAAAGTATTTGGGATAAATAATATGTAGAATATTAAAACTTAGGCCATATTGCAAAGCAGTGTGAAAAATGCCATCTTGTAAGTTCATCATTACCAAAGTATGATCTTGTCTCAGTCTGCTTGCTTTGCAGGTAATGATGATGAACAAGTATTAGCATAAGGAAGGAAAGAAAGATTACTGCATCAATAAATACAACAGATAATAGAAAAAAATAGAATAAAAATTAGATAAATCTAAATAGACACTTAACTAGTAAAGAGAGTGATTCAGTAATCAAAAATCTCAACATAGAGAATCTCAGGATTAAATAGTTTCATTGGAAAATTCCATCAAACTTTAAGGAATTTATTTCAATCCTCTTCAATTATTTCCAATGAAAAATAAAGAGGAGGTGATACTTCCAAGCTCATGGGGCCAGCATTATCTCGATATTGAATCCATTAAAAGATTTTATAAGAAACTTACAAACCAATATGTCTGATATGTACTGATGTCCCCTACCTCTGAAAAAAGTTCAACAAAGTATTAGCAAGGAATTTCAGCTGCATTTTAGCATGTTTATACACTATAACTAATTCATATTTATCTGAGGAACACACAAGAATTTCAACATACAAAAACTCATTGTGTAATATATACATCATTGAAAAAATAAAGGAGAAACACAGAGGCATACATACTTCTCTTAAGGCAGAAAAAATTCCCAGTATTTAACACGTTTTCTTGATGTCCATGAAGTAGAATTAGAAGAAAACTATCTCAGTGTAATTAAAGCCATAGGTGAGAAGCTTACAGTTAAACCTATTCTCAGTGGTGAAGAATGAAGGCTTTTCTACAAGATCAAGAACAACAAAAATAGACACTTTTGACACATCTCATCACAAAGTACTGAAAGTCTTATCCAGAGAAATTCAACAACAAAAAAGAAGTAAGAAAATTTCAAATAAGAAGGTTAAACTATCTCAAATGTTATTTGCTTTCTTGTAATGTGCTTTCAAATGTTATTAGAACTAATAATTGGACTCAGAAAACTCTCAGAATACAAAATCAAAACATAAAACAGGCCAAGCATTGTGTAGTGCACCTTTAATCCCAGCCCTCGGGAGACAGAGGCAGGTGAGTCTCTGTGAGATCGAGGCCATCCTATTTCACATCGTGACTTCCAGGAGGGCTGTGACTAGGGAGACCAGTCAAAAAACAACCAACAAAAAGAAAAAGAAACCCACAAAGATCCATAAAATAGGCTGGACATGCAAATAATGATATACACTATGAAGAAAACTTAAGAGACTAATTCCATTTACACTCTCAAATAAGAAAAGAAATTTGAGAATAAACTTTTAAGGAAGTAAAAATTTACACAACAAAATCTTATAATATTTTGTGAAAAAATAAATAGGGCACAAGTAAGTGGAAAGACATCTCATGTCCATGGATTTGAAATTTTTAATTTTTTAAATGGTGCTATCCAAAGAGACAATACAAATTCAAAGGCATCCTTATCAAAATATTGTAAATATACTTTTTGAAAGACAGAAAAAAATCACCCTAAAGGTCATTTACCAACTTTACCAAGGGATATTTTACCAACCAAAATAGTCTTGAAAAAATAACAGTGATGTTTCCCATTGCCTGATTTCACAGCTCCCCAATGCAGGACTATACTAGACTTATAGAACAATGGAATAGACTAATGGCTGTACAAATAAACCTTTGAATATATGCTTGAGCCATTTTGACAAGGGTGTGAACATATTTAATGGGGTAGAAATAGCCTTTTCAGCACATGATACTAGAAAAATGAAATCACATTAACTATTTGGATATGATACCAAAGCACAGACAAAATAAGAAAAAATAGATAATTTGTATTTTATCAAGATTAAAAGCTTCTATCCTTCCATATCAGCATTAAAGTGAAAAAAAGCCACAAAGAATGAAAGAAATATTTACAAATTACATATACAAGATGAATATGTAATATATAAACAACTCTCTATAGCTCAAAATCAAAACAACCAAAACAGTAACACACACACATATGTGTGTGTGTATTATCACCCAGGCTTGGTGATGTATACCCTTAATCCCAGGACTTGGGAGGCAGAAGCAGGTGGATCTCTGTGAGTTCAAAGCCAACCTTGTCTATATAGCGAGCTCAAAGCCAGCCCTGGCTACATAGCAAGGTCTCACCTCCCTGTCTCCCCAAATGTGAAGGACTTGAATAGAAAAATTTTCAAAATGAGAGATGCAAGAAGCGCATGGACAGATGATCAGCACAACTAATCACTAAGGAAATGACAAAATCTTTCAAAATTATTAGGATAGTTGGATGGAAAGAAGCAAGGAAAGAAAGAGATGGAAAAGAAGAAATCAAATAATTATTAAGGGTGTAGAGCACCTGAAACCTGTGTGAACTGAGGCTGGGATTATAAAATTGTAGAACCACTGTGGAAAGCAGTGTGGAGTGTTCCTAACATATTTGACATAGAATTAGGATGTGGCCCAGTAATAATTCTGAGTTTACAGCCAAAAGAATTGAAAACAGGCACTGAAACAGATATCTGTGCACCAATGCTATTACCAACATTACTTACAATAGACAAATGAAAACAACCCACATGTCTATCAGTGGATGAATTAATAAGCAAAGTGACCCACATATATTCCAAAGAATATTATCCACTCCTCAAAGAAAATTCTCACATGCTCCAACTGGCATGAACATGAGTGACATTGTATTAATTGTAGCACAGCATAAACTGAAAGGTGTAGTTATGAATCTACTGATATGAGGCCTCCATTAGGAGTGTGCAAACTCCTAGTGACACAAGTTAAAACAATGGTTTCCAGGAGTCAAAGAGGGAAAACAGGTGCTAGTGCTTAATAGGGAAAAGTATTCTTGAGAAGGATGATAGTGATGGTTGTACAGTAATGTAAATGTACCTAAAATCACTGAACTATACATTTAAAATTGCTAAAGTGTTAAAATTTATGTATATTTAGTCATAATTTTAAAGGAAAAATTAATTTAGAAATCATTATCATTCAATTTTAGTTTCAGCAATACACTGTGACAAGTTTGCTTCTACATGAGGAATGATGAATTGCTCTTATGTTCTAAAAGCACAAACTTAAAATGTTCTCTTTTTATTTCATTTTAGTGAAACAGAAGACTTTAAAGTGGATCCGGAGGCTAATGTATTAGAAGGTTGGATATTTTTCTTAACCTTAAAAAAACTAATGAAAAAGAAACTTTATTGTATCTTTTTATAATGTAATTATTTACTGCTTGGATAATTTTTATAGCCATCCATAAAATTGACACCGGTTTATTTTTTGATGCGTGTGCCTGCGTTTAAAATGTGATCCAGTATTATATCACTCCTCCATTAAAATGAGCCAATACCTTGTTTTGTATGAATTTACCATGCAGTATGCGATCTGATATTATGAATTTACATTTATCATCCTACTGTTAGAAACTAACCATGCACTGTCAGACTAGTTTATATATGACATAAATTGGATTTAATTATCTCTTTGAAAAGATAGACTTCCTTTGTATCAGAGCTTAGTCCTACAAAGATATAAAAGCTTTTTAAAAACTAAATTCAGCTCACATTAAAATCTGGCTAGCAAGAACCTTTCTGGCTTTTTTAAATATTAGTTTATATGGACTGTTTAGGACCTTTGTTGCAATGTTTTAGTGCAGTATTTGTTCAGACCTAAGAAGATGAATGTGATTTAAACAGAAGTATACAAAAGAGGTTTACTACAATGTGGCACTGAAATTCAAACCACTATATTTTAACTCAAGAAACATGCTCTCTCAGGTTGGAAATAGAAATCATTTCCATATAGTAATTCATGCATTAGCAATAATTCTGTTCAAATACCATATCATAATCTATATGTATCACAACAATCAACAGATTTCTGAGTTATGTTAGCCTATAAGACCTAGCCAGAAGCTGCTTAGTACAACCCTCTGATGAAGAAACTCAAGCAATGGGTGAGACTATTAATGTCTAGATTTTTTACTATAAGTCCACATTAGGTCTCATTTCTTGTAATTATATTGGGGTATTAGTTTGTTTGATCTAACTTTATTTTGATTGTGAATACATCTTGTATCCTTCAGTAATATTGAAGCTGTCTGAATCTTTTATTCATTTATAGATTCCTTGAACACTTTTTTTATTCTTACAATACTTGGTGTGTGAACATGACTTAAGTCTTTGGTCCTATGATATTTACATAATAACTTGAGGTAGGGAGTCAGATGATAAGGGCATAAGATAAATCCAGATATTGATGAGTCCATCCCATTTCACTCCTGACATAACTTCAAGACACTGCAATGACTGACAAAACTCTTCCCCATTAGGGCCCCATGCTGCCTGTTACCATTCTCACCTCTTCCTAGGTTTGGCTTTGGCTTACTCCACTCCAGCTTTCCCACTCTCATTGCTAGCCCTCAAACTTTCCAGAGCCTGTTCTCTTTCTAATACTCTGCAATGTTCTTCCTGGTCAGTCTGTACTGCTCCTCCCTCCCCTGTAGACTTTTTCACTTCATTTTCCTGGAGCAATCTCTTCTGATCTCAGTCTCTGAAATTGCAACTTACTGCCTTGAACATCTTTGACAAAACACTCTGACCAATACCAACATGGGGAAGAAAGGATTTATTTGGCTCACATCTCCCAGGTCACAGTTCCTCTCAAAGGGAGCCCAAGCCAGGAACTCAGGGCAGGAATCTGGAGGCAGGAGCTGCCACACAAGCCATGGTGGAACACTGCTTACTGGCTCAATTCCCTGGCCTATGCTCAGTCTGCTTTCTTAAACAATACAGAATAACTTGCCCAGGATTGGCATTGCCCACAGTGGGCTGAGCCCTCCGACATCACTCTACAATCAAGAAAATGCCTCACAGACATGACTACTGGCCAGTTCAATGGAGGAAATTTCCCAGTTGAGGCTCCTATAATGAGGTGTGTCCAGTTGACACCTAAAGCTGTCCAGCACACTGCCTTTTGTGGCTTTACTTTCCTACATCTTTAATTTCTTTTCTTCCCTTGTAGTTATCTAAAAACTTGTGTATTTTCTCCATTTGGTTTGATTCTTTCCTAAAGAATGCAAATTTCCTGAAGGTGGAGATTAATATTTGTTAGAACCCAAAACAGCACATTCACATATAGTAATTAAAGACATCGAATGAGACAGGAGAGACCAAGGGAGATGAAGTAAGGGGCGGGAGGAAGCATGAGAATAGTGTTTGGTTTATGAGATTAAGGTGTCATTAGATATCTAAATTGAGGTGTCATGTGAACAGCTGGATGTTTAGGTGTAGAATTCACAGAAGACAGGCTGATCATACATATTCTTGGCCTCATAGAATATGGCAAAAGGGGCCCAAGTAGGTATGAATAGCTGGGCCTCTTAAGTGCCTATATAGCTTAGAAATATAACAACTGGTGTTTATTTTATGGCCCTCATATTAAGTCTAAATGCTTTCCTTTTTTAAAAAAAATAAAAAGTCAGTTATGGACAATATGAAGCAGGGTCGCGTCCTTTAAGAATATTACTAGCCAATCACAGATAGATAGCTCAATCACTCTCTTATATTTGAGGTTTTACTCTTTTTCTTTTTCTAGAATCTACCTTGATCTCTAAGAGTAATTTATAAGGATTATTTATGATGTCTTCTAATAAATGCATATGTATAGAATTCATAGTTCTTGAATATGTTCTCTTTCCTTGTGCCCTCTTGTGATATAGTCAGGAAAAGTAGTTTAATTTCCATATTACATATGAAGAAATTGAATCAGAGTAGTTAGATTTAACTTTCCAACATGTTCACACAGTTCTAAGTCATGAAGTTAATACTCAGCAGAGCTTTGCTCTTAGCAGGCTAGTTGCCTTTCTGGCAATCGGTCTCTGTGAACAGTGCTCTCAGCATTATTTCTACCTCCTGTCATTCATTTATATATTGATTGATCCTCCTCCTTTGGAACATCAGGCATCTTTTAGATCTGCAATGAATCCACCAGAATTTCAGTATTGTTTCAAAGATCCCCTGTTTTAAAATATCATCACTTTCCTCTTTTATTTTAGTTAACTCAAGTCTATTTTTTTCATGTCTCTCACAGAACATTCTCAGGAGCCAAAGGCAGGGAAATCACGCAGTGTTCAGGTAAATTTTTTCTTTTTAATTCTTTTATTTTATTAATTTTATTTTCTGTGTACAAGTGTAATTCCTGCATGTGCGCAAGTGTACCCTTGTTGTGCAATGCCCCTGGATATCAGAAGAAAGTGTCAGATCCCTTGGAACTAGAGTTACAGATGGTTGTTAACCTCCTTGTGGGTGCCAGGAATTGAACCCAGGTCCTCTACAAGAGCAGTTAGTGCTCTTAACCGCTGAGCCATCTTTCCAGCCCAGGTAAATATTTTTTAATAGGTCCAATTGTTAAACATTGTGACCAACTTGTGAATAACCCAGTTTTCAAATTCCACTCTGAGACTGCTACCTTAATTTGTTGGAAAGGAGGTTCATTAGGGAGTAGAGAAATCCCTGCAGATTTTTCCCACTGCCCTCCCAACCTTCTTGCCTTGACAAGTTTTAGTTATGAACTTCTACAACAATGGCAGAACAACTGTTAAAACACCATATGTGCTGGGTGCAGTGGCGCACGTATTAATCCCAGCACTTGGGAGGCAGAGGCAGGCAGATCTCTGTGAGTTCAAGGACAGCCTGGTCTACATAGTAAGTTCCAGGACAGCTGGGGCTACAGGGAGACCCTGTCTCAAAAAGACCCCCAAAAAAATTCTGAAAGAAAATTCCTATTTATCACCAGAAGAATTTGGGGAAAGTTCCCCAGTAGACCAAAACATGGAAACAATGTGTTTTGTACTGGTTTTGTTTTGTTTCATTTTGTTTCGTTTCATTTCCTTTCGTTTTGTTTCTATGCTTTCTCCTGTCATATAACCACAAAAGTGGATGGAGTTATAGGAAATAGGAAACAATACACAAGGAAACTAGAGCCAGAGCATTCTAACCAGAGGACTATAAAGGGGGCTGCTGAGAGTTAAAGGCTGAGGGAAATTATAGAGGGGAAACCCTGAAAAGGGCAGCACTTACGTCTACTTGTTAGAGTCTCTCCTGAGCAATTGAACTTCCACAGACAAGAGAAATTGAGCCACAGTATTAGTCATGGTTTCGCACCTCGCTTCTGAGAGAGTTAGTCCTTCTTTATTCAAAGAAATGACACAAATCTCCAGAATCAAACCAGGATCTATGTGTGCCCAGCACTATGAAGTCAACACAGTCACTCTATTGTTTCAGACCCCCAAATGGCTAAGCGTTCCACAAGAGAAAATTGAGAATTTTGAAGTAAACATCCTTTTACTTCTCCTCTTATCATTTTATCATTTCTCAGAAAAGTATTTGCAACTTATTCAAATTAATCCAAAGGAGGAGGTGGGCAAACAGTACTGACATTTTCCAGGAGTTAACAGAGCTCAGCCTTTGGCCGTCATGTGGTTGTAGCCAAAGTCTTCATTTGTCACAAGGACAAATCCTAAGACTTATAACTGGCAAACACATGCCTAAGTCTCAGAGAATAATTGTTTCAGTCAGGAGTGCACAAATTGCATTTGTATAATAAGATTGTACAATGGTTGTGCTATAGCCTTTGGGTGTTTCTAGGTATATGTAATTTTTCCTGTCTAAAGAAAGACTAAGTTTGTCAATTTGCCTTGGCAGTTTCTCACTGTCCTTGAAGGATCAAAAAATATGACCAATAGTGTGCATCCCTCCAAGGAACACATATCAGGTACAAAACGCACTACCCTTTAAACAAGCGTTATTGCAAATGAAGCTCTCAATAATAGTGTGAATTTAGAAATTTTTATCATTTATCTTCCCAGAATGAGGGACCATTCCCTTGTGCATTATTAATATGGGATTGAAATAATATTTGTATCATTTGTATAAATAGTAATATTGTTTGATTATGCAAGTTTTCTTTCTTTATAGCTAAAATACCACGACTAGTTCAGCTAACATTTATTTGGCCCCAGCTATCTGCATTTTATTAAAGAGTGAAATGAGAATAATTAAGGTGAGCAATTACAGCAGGTTATCCAAAGTCAGCATGTGGCTGCTGAGCTGCATTGCTATGGCTCAGACATAGAGCCACATAACTTTTAAGGCCGACACTCATTCAGCAGCAGTGTTCACACTGCATGTATGACTTCCTGAGTAACGTAGGTGATACAAGCATGAGCAACTTGTGGAACAAGGTCTGCGGCTCACTGGAGCCAGCATGCTACGTCAGAGCGGGCACTTCAGTCACCCTCATGCTAGTCTTGGCAAGTCTCCTTTTCAGATCATCCCTTTTTATTTGTATGTTGTTTTAAGGGAACTAAATATGGAAATTTTACATGAAAATTCCTGCCTTTGAAAGTCATATGTTGTAATTAGGAAATATGGGTCTTTGACATTCTGTATATTTTTAAATCCTTTCACAAGTTATCATAAATTAACGTGTGGTGTTTGCTAGAAGACTCGTGTGCTAAATAACTGATCCAACAAATGAATCCAAATAGAGACTTTTTCATTATGTATACAGCTATCTTGATGACAAAGAGAAATACCTGAATGCTATCAAAAGTTACCTAATATAAGTGAGAAATGCTATTTCATGTATTTCTGCTTTCACTAACACACTCCAAAATACAGAGCACTGAAATTTCCTGCCCAGTTCAGCTTCTCAGGCATTTTTGGGGGGCAGGGGTAGTTTTTAGCAGGAAAAGGAGATAGACTTTGCCTGCCTGACTGGAGATGCCTCAAGCTCAAATTGACACTACACCATGAGAGAGACAAAAAGCTTGGACCTTAATCCCAGCTTAGCCACATTTTACTCAAATTATCCCAGACAAGGCAATTGACCTTATAAAGTTTAGTGTCCATAAATAAAAATATCATTCTTCCTGAGTATTTCACAAAATTATTACAAAGTCAAGTGGAAAATACTTTTTGAATGTGTTTTAACCCCCACAAATTAATTTGTGAATGACAACTTTTGAATTCTAAATCATTGCTATGATCTAACTATTCATTTAAAATGTCTCTTAAACATATCATTGTGTCTTTTTTCCCCCACAGAAATGCCCAAAACCACTATTTCAAAACAAGGATCTAAAGTGATGGCAAAGGTTTCTTCAACACTGTCAAAGGTGTTTTCCCGATCTAGCAACAACATTCCCAAATCTTCCTCACAACCTCACCAGGATAAGCACTGAAACTTCTATGCTTGATAAAAATGTGATTCCCTTATAAAATAAAATATTTAAAGTAAAATATATTGTCCTATTTATTACTATAATACTGAAAATAAGAACAAATTATATTTGAGTTAAAGAAAGGTATAATAAAAACTTGCATTTAATAAACATCTATTTATTTAAATTTATCTATCTATTTTGTCTTTTTGAGACAGGGCCTCCTTGTAGCCCCAGCTGTCCTGGAACTCACTATGTAGATCATCCTGTCCTGGAACTCACAAAGATCTTCCTCCCTCTGCCTCCCAAGTGCTGGGATCAAAGGCGTTTGCCACCATGCCTGGGTAATAAATTTATTTTAACTAGTACTTGTAAACATTAAAATTGTACATAATGTAATAATGTGATAGGTCAGTACACATATATACATCTATATATGTCCATATCTAGTATAATATTTTAAAAGTTAAACATTTGTCTCTTAAAATATCATTTATTTATCATAAACTTTAATAATAATTTCATATACCTCTTAGAGATGTAGAGTATATTACTGCTACCTATAGTCATATTGCTATATGCACCATATGACCAAACAATTCAACTTCTATGTATAATGGTTCAGGCAGGCATTTTGGTAAGACTTTCAATTTAGTAATTATCTGTGTGCTGTGACAGTAAATGACTGAAATTACAAGTAAAAAAATGACCCCAAAGTACCCACTGGAAAGTGAATACAGATTTTTTCCTATTAACTTTCCCAGAGGATGATATCATTATGATAAGAAAATCAAGGTGGATACAACACAATTATGAAGCAGATTGATCCACTGTCAAAGGTACATTCATATGGTTCAGGTCTCAGCATTTCCTACAGAAACAGTTTCCTCATCTATGAAGTATTGCTGTTTTACTTCACTAGTAAAATCAGAAAAAAAGGAGTTAGCATACTAATAATATTAACTGGAATTTATTTAAAATATTATTGGTAAATGTACTCATAAGTAAATGAAGGGGTTTGGGGAAAATAAATATTTAAAAAATGAGAAGAAAGTATGTGGGAGGACGGTATGGCAGATGATGTGAACAACACGATAAAGCAAATACACAGAAAAACAAAGCAGTCCGAAAACGAAACCAACCAAAATAAAATTAAGCTGCGATGGTTATTCCGTTTTGTAAACTTGTATTAATCTGGAATGAACTCAAAGGCGATTGCTGAGCACTCCTTTGAGAGAGTATCCTGGTCATACTACCTGAAGTGAGAAGACCCACCCTAAAAGTAGGCAACACCTTCAGATGGCAGCCCACATAGAGGGTAGAAGAAGTAAGCTTTGCTACTTCCTGCTTGCCTTTACTCTCATTGTCAAGTTCATCTACCCCTTTCTGCCTCTGCTGTATTTGCTCACTATCATGCAGTCTCATCTTCAGCCTTCCAATGTGCATTGAAGAACAGGGGCTCTCCAGGAGTGCTCTGAGCCTTCAGGACCGTATCATGACTGCTGAGACGTCCAGCTTCATGGTCTGAGCAACCAGCAGGTTCCTAGCCTCTCTTGTGTAAGAAAGCCATTGTTGGACTACGCAGACTTCTTTATGTAAACCAGTCTAATGATTTCCTTTTAACATACATTCATCATGTCACTTATGTTCCTCTACAGAATCCTAATACACAAGAAAAAAATTAAATATTCGATGAAAAAAATGATACAACAAAAATATTGTACTAACAGTACTTCAGTGCTCAAACAAGTGTAGGGTTTTTCACCCCTTTGCATTGTCTTGTAGCTTGCTTTGTAGGTGGCAGCTAGTTTCTGAAAGATATCATAAAGAAGCGTTGCAATTTGTTCCTAAAGTGTGTTGTTGCAGTCACCAGTGAATTATCTAAACGTGGTATGTCTCTTTTTCCCTACTTTTTAAGAGGCTGCTCTTGTGTTTGCAATAAATATCTATAACTAATTAATACATACTCTGTTTCTCACATTATGCGATTTCATGGATAGTAGACTATCTTTTAATTATTATAGTACCTAACTCCCCCTTTTATCTTGCATCATTGACATATTTTAATTCATGTATCTATATTCACTGACTATAATCACTGTTAGGCTGAAAATAATTATCTGCAGTTCAATATTCATTACAGAATTATTCACGATAGGTAAGATATAAAAGTGCCATAATGACCATCAACATGAATGGCTGAAAAAAAATGTGATCTATTTCCTTTGTGAGAGAGCAAGAGATCTATTATAGAATTAGTGAACACAGCTTGAGTGCTAACCAGGTCAAATTTGGAGATCATATTTTAGACTAGAAATCTCAGAAGGAGCTGGTATTGTAATCTTGAACTCTAAAGCAATCTGATCCTGAATCGCTTCCAGTACTTGGACCCCAACCCGTCCCCCCGACCTGCCTTTATTTCAACTGATTCAATGAGACATACACATGTTGTGTATAACCAGCTGTTATTAAAGCTCACTTAAAATCTGATTATACCTAAGGAATATTTTCATTAAAACATACAGATTGACATTTGACCAAAAGGTGACAAACCTTATTTTAGCCAATTTGACACATTAAATTATCCTTTTCACCACAATGTTTTTGTTCTCTGGAGTTTTTAGTAGAATATAATTCCACATAAGTACTTTTGCACTTGTTGCCTATTATTCTGGTATTAAATCTGAATGGTCATGTAGTTTTCAACGTCTTATTATTTTAATGTAGTGCATCACAATAATAGATTTTTCACATGTTGTATCATTCTTTCATGATAGGGATATATACTAATTGGTCATGATGTATAATTTTCAGTGTGCTGCCAAGTTCTGTTAGCATTTTATTAAAGACATTTTCATCTGTGTTCATCAGGGATATGGACCTGTGGTTTTCAAGTGTCTTTTCTGAACACAATGTAATGCTCGTGTAATCACTAATGATTAGTAATGTTAAATTGGTAATCAATAACAGGAAGAGCCCAAGTAAATTCACAAATACATAGAAACCAAACAAAATTCTCTTCAGCAATGACTGAGTCATAGCAGAAATCAAAAGGGGATTTTAAAAGTGTCATTAGACAAATGAAAACATGGTTTAAAAAAACAGACTTTACGTGATTCAAGGAATACTACTAAAGAAGTAGTGTTATTTCACATAGATAAATGTCAATCTTAAAAATGAACAGCTCAAACAACAAATTTACATCTCAATGACTTAGAAAAAGAAGAGCAAACTAATCCCAAAATCATTATAAGGAAGGAAAAATAGTTATCACAAAGGAAACAAGTAAAGTATTAAATAAGTAAATAAGTAAAATATAGAATAGTAAAAAAGTTTCTTTGAAAAAAAAAATCCTACCCACCTAACAAAATAGAGAAGCTACCTCAGAAATAAAAAAGATCCTAAGGAGCTATTTTGAACAACCCTACATCAGCAAATTACAAGATTGAAAAATTATAATAAATAAAATCTTAAGACATAGAACTTACCAAATATGAATCAATGTGAAGTTGAAAACAGACAAATAACAAATGAGCTTCAATCATTAATTTAAAAAAATCTCCCACAAAGAACAGCCTAGTAGCCTACTGTCTCTTGGATGACTCCCACCAATATTCAACGAGAGTAATTAGGAACAATCATCCATAAACATTTTCAAAAGTAGAAAAGAAAATCTTTCCAGGATTACATTATGAGACTGGAATCACACTGCAAACCAGAGCCAGGCAGGAATCATCAGTGTTCTTATTGAAATAGTTACAGTGAAATATCATAGAATTAATTGTAATGAATTAACTTCATAAATATTTTTATGCTCTGAATAATTTCAGGGTTTTTATTAGGAGCCAACTGGTACAAATATACTTTATTTTAAATTAGTCCTATGAAATTTGAACATACATTACTAAATTAAATGTTTCCAGGATCATAAAGAAGAAAAGTTTTGGCCTTGACTGTACAGTACTATGTGGTAGCACTTACAAGAATGATAGGTAGGCTTTCAAAAGACTAAGTACATTTTTGTTAGGGATATTATTTAATGTCAATGTCTAAAACTATACTACTTACTTGGATGAGATAAATTCACTAACTCTGTAACATATTTTTTTTTGAGTCAGGGCCCAACTCAGGCTGGCCTCATTCTTATTAGGTAGACCACATGGTCCTTTGTGCTGGACAGCTTTAGTGTCAACTTGACACACCTGGCTTGAGGGAGCCTCATTTGGGGAATTTCCTCTATTGGACTGGCCTGTGGCCATGTCTGAGGGTTATCTTCTTGATGAGTGATGTGGGAGGACCCAGCCCACTGTGGGTGGTGCCACCCCTGGGCAGGTGGGCCTGTGCTGCATAAGAAAACAGGCTGAGCAGGGGCCAGGGGAGCAAGTCAATAAGCAGCGTTCCTCCATGGCCTGTGCTCCAGCTCCTGCTTCCAGGTTCCTGCCCTGAGTTCCTACATTGGGCTCCCTGATGAACTGTGACCTGGGAGATATAAGCTGAATAAACCCCTTTCCTCCCCAAGTTTATATTGGTCAGAGTTATTTGTCACAGCAATGAAGAGAACAAACCAGAACAGAAATTGGTACCAGAGCGTGGGATATTGCTGTGACAGACTGACCCTGGTGTTTTGGGGAGGACTGTGGAAGTGTTTGGAACTTTGGTCTGGAAAAGCCATTATGTGCTCAGAGTTTGTTGCTGTGGAGCGTGGAACAGTTATGCTGAAAGAGCTGTAGATGATGGAGGCCTGGCTTTTGAAGCTTCAGAGGGAAGTGGAGTCTATCAGGGCTGTTCCTGTGAGATTTTGGATTGCGAATCTGTGGGTTCTGGTCCGCTGGGGCTGAAGAATCAGCTGTGATTAAGAAGAGACCAGAACCTGAAGTAAAACCTTTGCTTTACTGGGACAATTGATGCTGGTTAGCTGGGGCTGAAAAATCAGCTGTAAATAATGAGACAGCATCACGGTGGTGAAGTCTTCTGGGAGGTATTTCCTCAGCACACAGAAGCTAGGGTACAGAGGGGACTGA